GACGGAAATTTAATTAGGGAGACGGAGAGAGGGGCAGAGGGGGAGAGACGGAGGGGAAGAGGAGGAGGAGGGGGGGGGGCACGGCAAGAGACACCGAGAGAGAGGGGGTGGGCACACACAGAGCGAGAGACACTGAGACGCAGAGCCAGTGAAAGAGAGACAAAGACAAAGATCCCCCGTATAGCCTTAATTAATAGACTGTTAAATTTTGATTTAAAGCTTTCGCGACTGCATGGATTCATCTTCTTGGTTCTCTCGATAAAGTCACGTAGAAGGGAAATAATAAAATAATAAAAATTTAAATAATAAATTAAAATTATCACGACGTTTCGGCCACAACACAGAAGACGGCTGCTTGTGTTGTGGCCGAAACGTCGTGATAATTTTATTGTTTTATTTTTAGTATTTTATTATTTCCCTTCTACGTGACTTTACGGAAAGAACCAAGAAGATAATAGACTGTTGGTGCAAGTGCTGTGAGCGAGCACCTATGAAGGCCGAAACGGCACGCTAGGGTGTGGGTAGCCAGCACTACGCCCGGCCGCCTTTGTCTCCCTAGTGGCAATATTTAACACACTTCACCAGGTGCTTGTTTGAGGCTGAGTCGACCTAGGGGAGGCCCAGGACCCGTTCAAATAATCGTCACCGATGTTGGCCGTGAACTGGGACTCGAACTCGGGTGGCTTGGGTTCGCAACGCAGCGCGCTAACCTGTGCCACCGCTCCCCACGTTACCATATCGAGAGAGAGAGACACATACACAGTGACACCGAGAGACAAATATACCCCTATTGCCTTGAAAATATTGTTGTGGAAAGTACACTTAGCGAGCACATACGAAGGCCGGTATGGCACACGAGGTGGGTGAGTGGCCAGCACCACCTCACGTGCCGTGCCAGCCGCTAAAAGCTGCTCGCTCAGAGCACTTCACCCAAAAGTTGGTGCAGGCTATATGGGAGGAGCTTTGTCTTTGTTGTTGTTGATGCAGTGTTTGCTGGTGGTCGAACACATTGAGATGGATGAGAGCACAAATTGAGATGGGTGAAACCAAACACTCAAATTTCGGGTCGCGGGCATCATTTGCGCGTCGAACATTTACCAAAGGCGAGTGCACATCACGGATGGTTTCATCATCCCACCGCTAGAGGGCAATGATGCATCCAGTGTCCGCTTGGACGTGCGTGTCAATACACCGCTGGATGAGGTCCTGCGGCAACGCCGTGCGGGTCGTGGTGGGGTTATTTGACCATACTTCACCACGCGGGATTAATGCTGGTCGTTGTGTTTACGCCACCCGCAATATGCGGGACAAATGCCTCCGTAACCGGTGACACAGACGGGTGCAGGTGCAGCACTGGAAAGTGCAAACTCGGGAAAACCGCTGGCGGAAGGGCCCCCACTAACAGGGAGCTCTGCAAGGCCCCGTGTAGAGGGTATTTGGCCTACTCTTCCACGTCAGCCAGACGTCTTGGAAGAAGAGGTGGGAGTACCCGAATTTTACCCCACCACATGATACCTGCTAATAATAGACTGTTTCTTACTAAAGGTATCTATTTGGTATTTGAATATCTTAACACCTGTTTTATTGCCAGAAAGGGGTGAACCTATTCTTATTTTTAATTCTTTGATACGAGCAGAAAGGTCCAATGATATAGGTGCTCAGCCTCCAGCTATAAATACTCTGACACGTGCCTTGTCTTGATTTGAAGCTTTCGTGACTGCAGGGATCCATACTCTTTGGTTCTTTCGGTAAAGTCACGTAGTTATAAAATAACATAAATCACGACGTTTCGATCGCAACACAAGCGGTCGTCCTCAGGCGGAAAAAAATATATAATCCAGCAGTGGAACTGCTGAACAGTTCAGCAGTTCCACTGAACAGTTCAGCAGTTCCACTGAACAGTTCAGCAGTTCCACTGAACAGTTCAGCAGTGGAAGCAGTTCCACTGTAACTGTTCAACAGTGGAACTGTTCAGCAGTGGAAGCAGTTCCACTGTAACTGTTCAACAGTGGAACTGTTCAACAGTGGAAGCAGTTCCACTGAACAGTTCAGCAGTGGAACTGTTCAGCAGTGGAAGCAGTTCCACTGTAACTGTTCAGCAGTGGAACTGTTCAGCAGTGGAAGCAGTTCCACTGTAACTGTTCAACAGTGGAACTGTTCAGCAGTGGAAGCAGTTCCACTGTAACTGTTCAACAGTGGAACTGTTCAGCAGTGGAAGCAGTTCCACTGTAACTGTTCAACAGTGCAACTGTTCAGCAGTGGAAGCAGTTCCACTGAACAGTTCAGCAGTGGAACTGTTCAGCAGTGGAAGCAGTTCCACTGTAACTGTTCAGCAGTGGAACTGTTCAGCAGTGGAAGCAGTTCCACTGTAACTGTTCAACAGTGGAACTGTTCAGCAGTGGAAGCAGTTCCACTGTAACTGTTCAACAGTGGAACTGTTCAGCAGTGGAAGCAGTTTCACTGCAACTGTTCAGCAGTGGAAGCAGTTCCACTGCAACTGTTCAGCAGTGGAAGCAGTTTCACTGTAACTGTTCAACAGTGGAAGCAGTTTCACTGTAACTGTTCAGCAGTGGAAGCAGTTTCACTGTAACTGTTCAACAGTGGAAGCAGTTTCACTGTAACTGTTCAGCAGTGGAAGCAGTTCCACTGTAACTGTTCAGCAGTGGAAGCAGTTTCACTGTAACTGTTCAGCAGTGGAAGCAGTTCCACTGTAACTGTTCAGCAGTGGAAGCAGTTCCACTGCTGGATTATATTTTTTTTCTGCCTGAGGACGACCGCTTGTGTTGCGATCGAAACGTCGTGATTTATTTTTATTTTATACCTACACCTTTTGGCGTTCTCTGGTCTGGCACTGGTGAGAGTCAAGGCCTTAAAGAAGGCGGCTGGCCCTGGTGTAGGCCAATCAGTTTCAAAGACAATGCGTGTATTATCAGAGCGTGTGTGTTTGCATGTTCACTACAAGTCCTGTGTGTTGTTAATGCAGACTTGATACCTTGCAAGAGGCACATTGATTACCATATAAATAAGCCAACCGGCAATGGATACCCATAGTCATCTTCTTTGGTTCTTTCGGTAAAGTCACCACGTTGAATGAGAATAAAATAATAAATTGATAAAATAAAATAACACAATAATATTCTCACGACGTTTCGGCCACAACACAAGCGGCCTTCATCAGGTGAAGGGGCGAGACTGTCTGGTAGGACATTCTACGTGACTTTACCGAAAGAACCAAAGAAGATGAATCATTGCAGTCACGAAAGCTTTAAATCGAAATTTACCCATAGTCATTTATATTAATTCATTAACCCCCCCCCCCCGCCCCTACTTAGCACAAGAAGAGCTCACAAGTGATGCCATCACATCTACCCCTCTATTTAAGGAACGAAACGAGAGGAGGATTTCTCCACAAATCTGCCTGTCGCCTGATGAAGCTAGTTGTAATTGCTGGCGAAACGTCGTACACTCAGATTGTAAATATCGTGGCTTGGCTCTCCAACACACCGGTGTAGTGCTGTACCAGTGACGAATTGGCCACGTTCTGTTTACGTGACAAACCATTACTAGTTGGCTGTGTCGGGTGGTGGCGGGTTTTAACGACGCAACATTTATACATTTACGCGATCTAATACAAAAAAAACCTGTGTCATGTATCCATTTGGTGTTTGAACATCTAAAACACTCGCTGGTCATCAGGGGCGGCCCTAGGCTAGCTACCAGCTACTGGTGCCCTCGGCCAACCATGCCCCTGGCGTTCCCCACTCATAAACCCCAAGGGCAAATCTTTTTTTTTCCCCTCCGTTTAATGTCTTTAAATTCGTCTTTTTGGGGGGTTTTTTTCCCCAACAGAGGCACAAGTATTCGGGTTGTCCGTCCGTCTGTCCAAACAATACATTCTCAGAAATGCTGAGAAATTAATTGTAATTCATTATTCCCTCGGTACGCGCACGGGAATTGAAATCATGACATCATTGTTATTTTATTAGTATTTCCATAATAGAGGGGGGGGGGGTTTGGGGGGGGGTTAGATCGTGTAAATATATAAATGTTGTGTCGTTAAAACCCACCACCACCCGACACAGACAACTAGTAAGGGTTGTCACGTTAACAGAACGTGGCCAATTCGTCACTAGTACAGCACTAACCGGTATGTTAGAGAGCCAAGCCACAACATTTTACAACCTGAGTGTACGACGTTTCGCTAATGAGCCAACGCACATTATGCAAGTACAATAATGATCTTGTCACCCACCTAACTTGACGCCCAAGACGACCACCCTTGTTCGCCCTGTATGGACGGGCCGCTCTTGGCTGTTTTATTTCCAGAAAAGGAGTAAAAAGCCTCTTCTTATTTTTCATACTTTTATCCTGATAACAACAACAGGTCCCATGACCCAGACCAACTGCGGTGGCGGTGCTGGGGGAATTGTTATAAACTCGCCCCACACCCCCAGGACGCTGCTCACCACTGCCCCACCGCTGTGGCAGCAGCAGCAAAGTGGATTGGATTGGTCTGTGGATCGACCGTGGCTGATTCACATTCAGTTAGTTCATCATCATCATTTATTCAACAAAACTTAAGCGCGTTGTAAGGAACGCGTTAGTAGTGAGCAAATTGCCGCGGTCCCTTGGTGTGTTGATTGGGAGGGGTGGGGGAGGGCTTCAAGGGACCGCGGTGAACTCGCCAAGGCCTCGCGTTCTCGTCGGCGCGCCCTTGCGTGTCGCCTCGCCCCCCTCGAAACTTCACGCGCTGTCCTCGTAGTCGTAGTCGTCGTTGTTGTTGTTCTGGTGGTTGTTCTGGTTGTTGTTTTGGGGGTTTACGTTGGCACGTGAAGACTCGTCTCCCCCGGGTGGTGTCGTTTTGTTTTCTCTGACGGTCCGATGGAGGCGGGGGAGCGGGGGAGCTGCTCGAGATCGCTCGAGCCCCCCCCCCACTCCCGTAATCCGCGACCCCCCACTCCCGTAATTCGCGTCCCCCCACTCCCGTAGTCCGCGTCCCCCACTCCCGTAATCCGCGATCCCCCGTAATCCGCGACCCCCCACTCCCGTAATCCGCGATCCCCCACTCCCGTAATCCGCGTCCCCCCACTCCCGTAATCCGCGACCCCCCACTCCCGTAATCCGCGACCCCCCGCTCCCGTGATCTTCGATCCCATTAACCGCGATTCTATGAACAGCGACCCCATTCCTGTAATCCGCGATCCCATTAACAGCGACCCCACTCCCGTAATCTGCAAACCCATTAACTGCGAATTTACTAACAGCGACCCCACTCCCGTAATCCGCGATCCCATTAACCGCGATCCCATTAACAGCAACCCCACTCCCGTAATCCGCGATCCCATAAACCGCGATCCCATTAACAGCAACCGCGCTCCCGTAATCCCCGATTCCTGTGTCTGTGCTCGCGTTACCCACGATCCCATTGATGTCAACTAAATTCGTATAGTGACCGCGTGCATCCACGACGCCGATATCTCATTTTCCACGTTGACTTAATCGTTACACTGGATTCCTTCATCAGCATGACGAACCGTGACCCGATTATCCGTGATCCCTTTATCAGTATTTAACCTATCAGTATTCCCTGCCACCCGGTAATCCGTTTGGTCTCGATCGCGTTATCTGCACACCCTGCTTGCGGTCCCATCATCTTCGCCGATTGGCGACCCGCATATCCGCACTCTGTATCCGCACTCCCGTGTCTGCTCATGGAGCCTCTGTCTGTACAGGGGAAGGCCGAGGCACGGGACGCCCGGTCACCTGGTGCCACGGAATCCGAGTCCCTGGGGTCTGGAGTGGTGGTGTACGAGTCCGTGGCTTCTGAGTCCGTGGCTTCTGAGTCCGTGGCCTCCGAGCCCGTGGCTTCCGAGCGGAATGCATGCGGCGAATGCCGCAAGGAGTTTGCGAGCAAGCGCTCGCTCCGCGTCCACGCCAAGCGAATGCACGCGCTGCAGCGGCCCTACCTCTGCCAGCTGTGTGGCAAGGGCTTCATGAAGCCCTCCACCCTCAGGGTACGTCTGCACGCAGCTTCACCACGCCGGTCTCACCGCAGGGTAACGAGGTCGCACTCGTTACACACGCAGAGTGCTTGCCACCAATGAACCACGGTGCCTTGGGCGATCTCGTCAAGGAGCGTGAACCGTCATCACGCAAAACTCGCGGCAGCGGCAGCGGCGGCGGCGGCTTCTGGCTGGCCATCGAACAAAGCCGGCCAACGCGTCGCGCGCTTTCGGATGCGCTTCTGCGTCCGTCTGGAACGCTCGTTCCAATATTAGGAAGCCGCTGTGGCAATGCACTTTTAAATCGTCGTCTAGATTGAAAAACAATTAAATTAGAACAGCTTTTTACTGAGTTTGTTGTCCATTCCCCCGCACCTCCGATCACCACGGTTGCTACGTGCGGTGCGAATGAAGTTCGACACGCGCGTAAACATTGGTGGAGACAAGCGCGCTGCAGTCGTTTTTCTGAAACGTCATCTCGTCGCCCCCGGTTTGTGACCCCTGCCCCTCGTGCCGCCCAGGAGCACAAGCAGGCGCACTCGGGCGTGCGCCCGTTCGCCTGCGAGCGTTGCGGCCTCCGCTTCCTGCTCAAGCACCACCTCGGGGCTCACGCGGCCACGCACGCGGCCGTCCGCCCGCACGTCTGCGCCGCCTGCGGCCTGGCCTTCGCGCTGCCCGCCGGCTTGCGCAAGCACCGACGCGTGCACACGGGCGAGCGCCCGCACGCCTGCGAGCTGTGCGGCCGGCGCTTCGCCCTCGCCGGCGCCCTGCGCGCGCACCGGCGGACGCACGACGCCGGCGCCGCCTCTGCCTCCGTTCCGGCAGAAAAACTCCACATGTGCGAGGAGTGCGGCCGGCTGTTCGCCGACGCGGCGCGCTTGCGGCGGCACCAGCGCGCGCACACCGGGGAGAAGCCGTTCGGGTGCGCCGAGTGCGGCCGCCGGTTTTCCCGACGGGCCTACCTCCGCAGGCACCGGGCGACGCACGCCGTCGCCGCCCCCCCCTCGCCGGCGCCACCGTGCGGGGCCTGCGCCGCTTTGCCCGAGCCGCGCCCTCCCTGCCGGCACGGCCGCGCGAGCGAGCGCCGACACGCCTGCGAGCGGTGCGGAGAGCGCTTCTTCCTGCCGCATCACCTGCGGGCGCACCGGCGCGTCCACACCGGGGAGAAGCCGCACGAGTGCGAACGCTGCGGGCGCCGGTTCTCCGGCCGCCACCACCTGGACGCTCACCGGCGCACGCACACCGGCGAGCGTCCCCACGTCTGCGCCGAGTGCGGTCGGGCGTTCGCGCAGCCCGCCGGTCTCGCCAAGCACCGGCGCGCGCACGCCGGGGAGAAGCCGTTCGAGTGCGCCGTGTGCCGGCGCCGGTTCGCCAGCCGGCACCACCTGGCAGAACACGCGCGCACGCACACCGGCGGAAAGCCGTTCGAGTGCGCCGACTGCGGCAACGCCTACGCACAGAGCAGCGGCCTCCGCAAACACCGGCGCCAGCACTCGGCCGGCGGTGTCGGCACACGGCCGTTCCTGTGCGACGAGTGCGGCTTGGCGTTCGGCCGGCGCGCCGCCCTGCTGCGCCACCAGGAGGGACACCGCCACGGAGACGCGGGGAAGGCACCGGCGGGAACAGTGGCGCTGGAGGCTGCGGTGGAGGCTGCGGGAGATTTTCTCGACGGCGGTCCCGGTGATACGCGGCCGTGAGTCGGCGAACGTCGGGGTCGTGGAGAGAATCGGGTTCCGGTGGGGTTGGTGAATTTTGCAGAGATTGCGTTGCGTGGTGTGCGACTCTGAAGCTGCGTGGCTGTGAAGTATCCCTTCGACGGCAGTGCTACGATGGGCTCACTGCTGTAATCAATAAAAACTTGTTATCCATACCCATCGTTAACACTGCCTTGTATTATAAATGTGGGTGGAGGGGTCTGTGGCACAGTCGTTAGCACAATGCTTTCTAAACATTGCGATCTGCATTAGATTCTCGGACACGGCTAACATCAAAGTCATGGGCAAACACAAACTTGTTCATAATGCAGCTCCTAGAGTTCTTACACCACACGTACACCATTCCATGGGCACATTAAACCAGTCCTCTTATATCCATTGGCTACAAGTCAAAATCCGAGTGGCTTTAAAAGGGCTCACCCCACATCACTTGCAGGAACTATTACAGTTATATATTCCATCAAGGTCCTTGATCTCTTGATATCCAGCTGCTCAGCGCTCCCAGGTGTACAGGTCACGCTCTTTTGGTGATCGGTGCTTTTGTTAGCGTGGCAGCCAAGCCATGGAACGCCTCGCCACTTGAAAATCAGGGCAATCAGAGTCTGTAGATATATTTAAGTCTGCTTGAAAACCCCAGCTCTTTAAAGTGGCCTTCCCTCTTTAGTTTGGTCGGTTGCCCTGGATCTCTTTTTGTTTCCTGCCTTTCATGCATTGCGCATTGGGATCCTAGGATGGAATGCGCATTATACATTTTAGTTCTTATCAGTGACAAGTGATATCTGTGTTGAGAAGTTTCCGACGACTCACTCGGAGGCTGAGGTACGTTAAGGGCTTTCGCCTTAGGTTAATTACAAATCTTAACAATACATGGGTGTGAACAACTTCCCAGGGGTTAGGGGTACCGGGCTAGGTCCCGACACAGCCGGCTGCCTTGTGCTGTCTCCTCTGCGCCGGCCGTGGGATCAACCAACACGGCAGGACCGAGGAACACGGCCACGTCCAGCCCTGGCACTGTGCCCTCTCCTATCCCTACCCTCTTGCCCTTGGCTCCCCCGTTCCACCCTTCTCAGACCCCTCCTCTCCAGCTACGACCCCGCTGACGCCACGGGGTCCCCCCTTTGTACTTGAGGAGCTGTAACGTCATTCTGTTGCCCCGAGCGCATGACGTCACGTCCCGCGTGCGGAGCCACGGCGGCCCCCGCGGCCACTCCCGCGGGCGCGACGAGGAGCGTCGGCGAGGTGCGGAGCCGCTGCAGCAGCAGCGGCCACCTCCGGCAACGCGACGAGGGCCGGCGGTGTTGCGGCCTAGCGTGGGCCACACCGCCTGGGCTCTGTCCCTTGACCTTGCCAGCGAGCCTTCGGCAGGTCACGTGGCCTCAAAGTGCACCTGACCTGGCGCAAATGCCGCGGTGACGTCACAGCCACTGGGTGGCGATGTGGGCTCTTGAGGGAGTGTGTGTCCACGTGTTTGTGTGTCCACGTGTGTGTGAGTGGGGAGCGGTAGTGCAACGGTTAGAGAGCTTCGCTACGAACCCGGCGACTCGAGTTCGATTCCCGCTCACGGCCGACACCAGTGGCGATTATCTGACTGGGTCCTGGGCCTCCCCTAGGTCGACTCAGCCTCAAATGAGTACCTGGTGCTTTGTGTAAAATCATCGCCGCTAGGGAGACAAAGGCGACCGGGCGTGGTGTTGGCCACCCACCCCCTCGTGTGCCGTGCCGGCCTTTATCGGTGCTTGCTAACAGCACTTGCCCCTACGGTTTGTTAAGGCTATACGGGGGATCTTTGTGTCAGTGAAACACGGGCAGCTCCAGGATGTCAAGGTTTTACACCTTTGACTTCTACATTCACATTCCCACCGCTGGGCCCTTTTGTGACGTCTTGGAGCCATCAGTCCGATGGAATATCGAACCTCAAAGGTCCGGTCCAACCCTATCGCCTCCACGCTGGTCGGGAGCACAAAAGGGCCGCTCGACAAAAATTCCGAGCCAGATTCGGCATCACCCGCATCGGACCATGACCTCAATCCCTCTACAAGACCCCACCGGCATCAGCACAGATGGAGCGAAGAAGGGTTCAGTCGCATTCAAGAGCGGGACGCCGGTGGTGTGAGTCTGGGTCTCTGTGTGAGTCTATGGGTCTCTGTGTGAGTCTATGGGTCTCTGTGTGAGTCTATGGGTCTCTGTGTGAATCTATGGGTCTCTGTGTGAGTCTATGGGTCTCTATGTGAGTCTATGGGTCTCTGTGTGAGTCTATGGGTCTCTGTGTGAGTCTGGGTCTCTGTGTGAGTCTGGGTCTTTGTGTGAGTATATGGGTCTCTGTGTGAGTCTATGGGTCTCTGTGTGAGTCTGGGTTTCTGTGTGAGTCTGGGTCTCTGTGTGAGTCTGTGGGTCTCCATGTGAGTCTATGGGTCTCTGTGTGAGTCTATGGGTCTCTATGTGAGTCTATGGGAATCTGTGTGAGTCTATGGGTCTCTGTGTGAGTCTGTGGGTCTCTGTGTGAGTCTATGGGTCTCTGTGTGAGTCTGGGTCTCTGTGTGAGTCTGGGTCTCTGTGTGAGTCTATGGGTCTCTGTGTGAGTCTGGGTCTCTGTGTGAGTCTGGGTCTCTGTGTGAGTCTATGGGTCTCTGTGTGAGTCTATGGGTCTCTCTGTGAGTCTATGGGTCTCCGTGTGAGTCTATGGGTCTCCGTGTGAGTCTATGGGTCTCCGTGTGAGTCTATGGGTCTCCGTGTGAGTATATGGGTCTCTGTGTGAGTCTATGGGTCTCTGTGTGAGTCTATGGGTCTCTGTGTGAGTCTATGGGTCTCTGTATGAGTCTGGGTCTCTGTGTGAGTCTGGGTCTCTGTGTGAGTCTGTGGGTCTCTGTGTGAGTCTATGGGTCTCTGTGTGAGTCTATGGGGCTCTGTGTGAGTCTATGGGTCTCTATGTGAGTCTATGGGAATCTGTGTGAGTCTATGGGTCTCTGTGTGAGTCTATGGGGCTCTGTGTGAGTCTGTGGGTCTCTGTGTGAGTCTATGGGAATCTGTGTGAGTCTATGGGTCTCTGTGTGAGTCTGTGGGTCTCTGTGTGAGTCTATGGGTCTCTGTGTGAGTCTGGGTCTCTGTGTGAGTCTGGATCTCTGTGTGAGTCTATGGGTCTCTGTGTGAGTCTGGGTCTCTGTGTGAGTCTATGGGTCTCCGTGTGAGTCTATGGGTCTCTGTGTGAGTCTATGGGTCTCTGTGTGAGTCTATGGGTCTCCGTGTGAGTATATGGGGCTCTGTGTGAGTCTATGGGTCTCTGTGTGAGTCTGTGGGTCTCTGTGTGAGTCTATGGGAATCTGTGTGAGTCTATGGGTCTCTGTGTGAGTCTGTGGGTCTCTGTGTGAGTCTATGGGTCTCTGTGTGAGTCTGGGTCTCTGTGTGAGTCTGGGTTTCTGTGTGAGTATGGGTCTCTGTGTGAGTCTATGGGTCTCCATGTGAGTCTATGGGTCTCTGTGTGAGTCTATGGGTCTCTATGTGAGTCTATGGGAATCTGTGTGAGTCTATGGGTCTCGGTGTGATTCTATGGGTCTATGTGTGAGTCTGTGGGTCTCTGTGTGAGTCTATGGGTCTCTGTGTGAGTCTGGGTCTCTGTGTGAGTCTATGGGTCTCTGTGTGAGTCTGGGTCTCTGTGTGAGTCTATGGGTCTCTGTGTGAGTCTATGGGTCTCTGTGTGAGTCTATGGGTCTCTGTGTGAGTCTATGGGTCTCTATGTGAGTCTATGGGAATCTGTGTGAGTCTATGGGTCTCTGTGTGAGTCTATGGGTCTCTGTGTGAGTCTGTGGGTCTCTGTGTGAGTCTATGGGAATCTGTGTGAGTCTATGGGTCTCTGTGTGAGTCTGTGGGTCTCTGTGTGAGTCTATGGGTCTCTGTGTGAGTCTGGGTCTCTGTGTGAGTCTGGATCTCTGTGTGAGTCTGGGTCTCTGTGTGAGTCTGGGTCTCTGTGTGAGTCTATGGGTCTCCGTGTGAGTCTATGGGTCTCTGTGTGAGTCTATGGGTCTCTGTGTGAGTCTATGGGTCTCCGTGTGAGTATATGGGGCTCTGTGTGAGTCTATGGGTCTCTGTGTGAGTCTATGGGTCTCCGTGTGAGTATATGGGTCTCCGCGTGAGTCTATGGGTCTCTGTGTGAGTCTATGGGTCTCTGTGTGAGTCTATGGGTCTCCGCGTGAGTCTATGGGTCTCCGTGTGAGTCTATGGGTCTCCGTGTGAGGCTATGGGTCTCTGTGGCCACCCGTTTTAATCACACAGCAGGGGTCAGCGGTGTCTCACCCGGCCTGCCATGGAAGAGTAACGCCCGCCGCAGGATTCGCGCCCGTATAGAATCGATTTCCACGGCCGAAGCAGATAACCATTCTCACTCCCACACTCGTCGTCTGATGTGGTCGTTGAGGGAAGTGGTTTAATGATCGGCGCCGAGGGGTAGTCACTGGAATCAATGTTGCTCTGCTCGGGGCTGCTCCACGTGTGGATGCAGGCATGGACGATGCTGCATGCGACCTGGCAGGTCTGGGTACAGGCGCAGCCCTGCAATGTCTCACACCACTGTTGACGGAAGGGCCTCCACTCCAGGGAGCTCGTCCCCTTCTCTTGAAGGTTTTTTGGACGTTTCTTCAAAGCTGACGTCTCGGAAGAGACGGGAGTACCCACAATTTACCCCACCACACGTGACCTGCCAATAGTAGACTGTGGTGAACCCACGTATATATATATTGCTGGGTGGACAGATGCAGTGGAGGGATTTCAGAAACTTGCTCCAGACGGCAAGTCGTGGTATAATCACTGTGGGTATTACACCCCGCAGTAATAACCAGGGCGACCTCTGTAATCAAACCGTGCACCGCTGCGTCCCGCTGCGCTCGTTTGGAAATATCGGGCAGTTCACCAGCATTGATTCAAGTAAGCCAGAGTCTGCTGATGAGACACTGAATATCGAAACCGGTCCAGATTGTTGCTTGCGTTGAACCAATTCTGCAAAATGTGTGCACTCCCACTCGGCCGCGTGGCTAATGGGATGTGTAATTCATGCTGTCACGTACATCTCATTAGTTGAGTGATTTGGCATCGGAATGTTTTACATCAGCCTGACATTTACATCTCGATAAGGCGACGGCGCAGTACAAACACTGGTTGTTCAATTGCTCTGAGTTGCCATTTGTTTGGATAACAAATTGCAATTAGCTCAGGGTAAACGATCTTTCTACTCGTTTCGATTTGAACAGACAAACCTCCCCGCGCCGTGTCAATCACGGCGGTTTGTTTTACCATACTTCACCACGCTGGTCAGTGGAGGTTGATGTAAGGTTGTCGGGGTGGTGAGGGCTCAGGATCTGCTTGGGTGTGACACGCCACTGACGTGAGCCGTGGCCGGGAATCGAACTCGGGCATGCCAGGTTCAGAGTGCAGTGCGCTAATCGCTGCGCCACCGCTCCCCGCACCCCACAAGCAAAGCAAGTATGCCGCACCATCTGTTCACATCTTTGCACAGCCTCAACTATTCTCGCATGATTGTATCACTGTGCAATCGTCGCCCTCATCAGCCATGGTCAATCCACCGCTGGATGCAGGCCTCTCCAAGCCACCGCCACCTTTCACAACCTGAGCCAAATGTTAAATAGCCCAAAGCAAGGTTTGCCGGCCTCTGGGGTGGGCCTCCTGAATAATGGAACAGGAATTTATTTGAGAAAAAAAAAAGACGCGTGCTGGATATATAGAGCCCCGCCAGGTATTCCACTCTGCCACCCAATACAAACCTCACACAGACTCGCATAAAGAGTCATCGATTCACGTGGAGACCGATAAGTAGAGAAACCCATTGACGATACTCACAACCATAGCCTCACATGGAGTGGCGTGGCATGTTTTACGCGGGTCCTGGTACCCCTTGCCCAATTCTCCTCCACGTACCTCCTGCCATAGGAATGTGGAATTTCCACCACTGGCTCTGGACTTTAAAGCAATACATGAGCAGGACATCGTTTTGACTTCCCTTCATATTTCCGAACAAGTGGTTGTAATTGAACCCGTTTGGCTTTGCTGCTGTGAGACGGCGGGGGGGGGGGGCGTGTGGAGGTCTGAGCCCTTTGGGTTCTCCTCTCGCCAATCTCGTTTACCAAATGTCTGAGAAAGCTCAGTGGGTGATGTATTTGAGGCCAGTCCCCGTTCCGAATTGGGGATAACGCCTATAAGGGAGACAGTGAGCGAGTGGGCACCGATCTGGACAAACACCAAACGCTCCTGTACTCGCTCACGGCGGTGGGGGGGGGGGGAAGAGATTTGGAATTGCAAATTAAAATCGACTTGAAAACAGAGAGAGAGAAATTAACACGCGTCCCGGTCGCAGATGTGAAATCGCTCTTTCCTCCTGAAATATTAACGCGTTCCCATTGAATGAGAACTGGCACTGTCCCAGGTTATTTGCCACGAAAAACGGCCATTTCCTGCAACGTCGCCTATTGTATATACGTTTAACTTAATAAAGGCACGCTGATGTCATTGACGAATGTGTGGAGTTGTTTTCGTTGTGGTTGTGCACCCCCTCTTTCAAAGGTCTGGTCAGCATGGAAGAGTAGGCCAAATACCCTCTCGAGGGGCTCCTCCAGAGCTCCCTCTAGTTAAGCTTGCACTTGCAGGGTTGCGCTTGTACCCTTTTAATCCACTGCTGGATGAGGCCCTCCTCAAGCCGTTCGGGTCGTGGGGAATGTTTGACCATACTTCACCATCCCTGGCGAATGCGGGTTGGTGAAGGCGGCGAGGGAGCATCGTGGTAGAGTACAACAATTGATTTGGCTGCACCGCCCTCTGCTGACAGCTGTTACGCCACGCGTATTGATTGGGCGATCCTCGGCGATAAATTTGGCGTGAGCACGTGCCCGAGCAGAACCAGCCCCACGGTGTCGGTGAACTCTGAATCTTTATTTCGACTGCAGGAGGAAATCGGATGAGCTATGAAGCTCTCCCCCCCCCCCCCTCCCAGACTTCCTGACGATGGGACACGGGATCAGAAGGTCAGAACGAATGTTCGCGGCGTACCCATGGCTGTCAACCCATCCGGTTTACCCCGTGTTCTTGTGCAGAGAAATTGATCATTCAGGGCCATATGGCGTACAGCCGCCGTTTCAATACGGGCAAACATGAATCATATTTGTTGTCTCTTTGTTTGCGTTTCTCCATTGTGATGGGACTTTGTAGGATGAACGTTGAGATTTATAAGTGGCACGGGGTGACCAATAAGGTATGGATTGGTCTGTAGTAGGCTCGGCACTGATAAGGGGTTGTGACATGTATGGGTTCCTGAGCAGTGGCACGCACCAGCACGACGTTTCGGTCAACTGCCCTTCTGCAAATAGGGGCCGTCCATAAATGACGTTACGCGATTTTGGACGATTTTTGACCCCCACTCCCCTCGTCACACGGCGTCACATAAGGTCAGACCCCCCTCAAATATGACGTCACAAAGCTCTGCCCCCCCCCCAAATAAAACCATATTTTGAAAATAAAACTTGCTTCAAATCGCTTTAAACTATTGTCATTGTAGTGCGTATTTAATGTGGCGCTGCACTATGATGTTGTAGGAGAAAGCATTTATCAAAAAGTATATTTAATTAAGTAGAACGTGTTGTCTATATTTATTTAAAGTTGCCCATTTTGATGTGACGTCACAAATGTCTGACCCTCCCTCCCCCCCAGGTGCCTGACGTCATTTATGGACGGCCCCATAGTACGTCGATAGAGTGGATTTATATTCTTGGTTCTTTCGGTAAAGTCACGTAGAAGGGAAACAATAAAAATATAAAACAATACAATTCTCAGGACGTTTCGACTGCAACACAAGCAATCATCGTCAGGTGTGAAAACCACAGCAAGAAAATTTGAAAAAAAATAACCGCCACTCTTTTCAAAATTTCTTGTTGTGGTTTTCACACCTGATGATTGATGATTGCTTGTGTTGCAGTCGAAACGTCGTGAGAATTTTATTGTTTTATATTTTTATTATTTTATTGTTTCCCTTCTACGTGACTTTACCGAAAGAACCAAGAATATGAATCCCTGCAGTCACTAAAGCTTTAAATCAGTGGATTTATATTCAAGGTTTGGATGCTGCACCTGTTCACAACGCGTCGACGAGTGAAATGTTTCCTAATGAGTCGTTTTTTTAAAAGAAATATGGAAATATTAATGCAGAAGTTCGCCCAACTATTCATATGCAAACGAGTACCTGAAGTCGCCTATCGGATTGGTCAGCGGCTTACGGATCGATTCGTCATTAAGTGGCAGCAATGATATCGATTGAATAACAATGGACTCTTATAGGTCGTACTGCACGTGATCGATTCCTCGTTTGGCAAACACCGTACAATACGGGTGCATGCCGTCGTCTCGTCAGTATTTTAAAAGCGCAACCATTTGGCAGTCGAATCATTTATAATCGATCGCGCGTTCGCTCGTCAAAATACTCGATACCTTTAACGTTCATTTTGCATAAGAATGCGTTGCTTCTATTAATGATCGTGATGCGTGTTGCTTAACGTTGTGGCTATTTAGAAGCGTCATTTTCAATTACCAGACAGTAAAACATGTTTATTACGTACATCGATTTCACATATATCGATTTCCACGTCTTTATATTCAACCTTTATCGATTCTATCTTCATCTATTCCATCTTCATCGATTCCACGTCTTTAGATTCAACCTTTATGGATTCCACCTTCATCGATTCTATCTTCATCGATGCATCTTTTTTTCTATTTCATCGTTATCGATTTCTCCGACTTATCGATTCCACCGCCCTCGTTACACGCCCCCCCCCCTCTCCGCGGCCGCGCCTAACTCCGATTGGCCACTCTTCTCCACGCGCTTCTCCGCCAATAGAACGCCGCCTTAGTCCGAGGCGCGCCGCCGGTCTCGACCAATCGTGCGTCGTCTTGCTTGACGGGGCGGGGTTTGGGGTGGGAGGGCGCGGGTGGTGGGGGAAAGGGCGCGAGTGTGGGGGAAGGGCGCGGGTGGGGGGGTGGGGGCGTGTCGGCGCTGATGACGCGAGGCGCGCGTCACGTGAGCGGGTGAGCCGCGGAGGTTTCCCGCCGGATTCTTCCTCACCAACCCGCAACTCCCTCACCCCCCTTCCCTTCGTCCACTTACAACACAGACACTCAGGGGCGGCGGCGGCTGGCGGCGGCGGCGGCTGGCAGAAGTCGAGGGAGAGAAACGCTCGCACGCGAGAGACCATCCACCCTCGCACCACCCGGGGGGACACACGTGGCGTCGATTGGCGTGCGCCGCTGTTGTGAGGCCTAGGCCAGGCTCGAGCGGCCCAGGCCTCGCCTGGGGGCTCCCCTCTCGACCCGTGCCCCGGGGCCAGCCTCTCTACCCCCCGTTCCTCCCCCACCCACTCGGGAGTTGGCTCCGTGGCTCGCGTAGTCTTCGTCCCGCCATCATTTGGAGCTTCGCCTCGGTTCTCTGTTCGCCGTCCCCAGAGTTCTGTGTCCTCCCCGCCGCCTCACCCGATAGGATCCCGTCCGCCTCCGGGTGGCTGGGCGCGTGCCCCTCCGTGTTTGCTTGGCAATTGGCGTCCGTGTTCGGTCAGTAGCAGGAATTTCTTATTTTATTTTTTCGACCGAGATTTTTGTTCCGCTTTTGTGTTGAATTATCACCCTTTACTGCACGGTTTTTGTTTTATATAATAGACCTGGGCCGACTCGGAAATACGTCAGATTTATGCTCTCTGCTCCTCCGGCTCTGTACTTCTGGTTCCCTTTCTCCACTGGTTCTGTACTTCTGGTTCTCTTTCTCCACTGGTTCTGTTCTGGTTCTCTTTCTCCACTGGTTCTGTACTTCTGGTTCTCGTTCTCCACTGGTTCTGTCCTTCTGGTTCTCTTTCTCCACTGGTTCTGTACTTCTGGTTCTCTTGATCCGCTGGTTCTGTACGTCTGGTTCTCTTGCTCCACTGGTTCTGTACTTTGGTTCTCTTTCTCCACTGGTTCTGTCCTTCTGGTTCCCTTTCTCCATTGGTTCTGTACTTCTGGTTCTCTTGTTCCACTGGTTCTGTACTTCTGGTTCTCTTGATCCGCTGGTTCTGTTCTGGTTCCCTTGCTCCATTGGTTCTGTACTTCTGGTTCCCTTGCTCCACTGGTTCTGTACTTCTGGTTCTTTTGCTCCACTGGTTCTGTCCTTCTGGTTCTCTTGCTCCACTGGTTCTGTCCTTCTGGTTCTCTTGCTCCACTGGTTCTGTACTTCTGGTTCTTTTGCTCCACTGGTTCTGTCCTGGTTTTCTTGCTCCACTGGTTCTGTACTTCTGGTTCTCTTGTTCCACTGGTTCTGTACTTCTGGTTCTCTTGATCCACTGGTTCTGTCCTTGTTCTCTTGCTCCACTGGTTCTGTACTTCTGGTTCTTTTGCTCCACTGGTTCTGTCCTGGTTCTCTTGCTCCACTGGTTCTGTCCTGGTTCTCTTGCTCCACTGGTTCTGTACTTCTGGTTCTCTTGTTCCACTGGTTCTGTACTTCTGGTTCTCTTGCTCCTCCGGCTCTGTCCTGGTTTTCGTTCTCCACTGATTCTGTACTTCTGGTTCTGTTGCTCCTGGTTCTGTATTTGGCAAAGTCGATTTTCGCCCACAAATTACACAGCTCTAGACGATATAATGCAACCATCGCACACGACAATGGGATTTCTCCTGGAACTGTCGTCTCCTGGCAAGTTGGGCGATCTCATTTACATCTGCCATATCGTCGATATATTTAGAACTTGGGTTTCAGACCAATTATAGGACCACATTTAAGTTCATGGTTTTGTGCAGTTTCTGGTGACCAATCTGAGACTCGTCAAAACTAACCACACCTCGGAACAACTCGGTCGGTCAGTTTGTTGGTTTCTGTACAAGTTTTAAATGTCACGTGAGTTATTTGTCACAGTGCTCAGAGCGTCACACTACTACATTCGAGATACTGGTTTCGTTAGAGGTGGCTTAAACATGGATTTAAATTCAGGTTCTCAGCGGTGCTGGCTCTCTGATTTTACCCCTGAGCCACGCAGACATCTCAACATTATTTCTGTATCAGATACAGAATATTCTTCCTGAATACATTATCTCAGGGCAGGATGTATCCGAGACCGCAGCAGCACGTGGTGCTGGTGAATTAGAAATGCTAATGTTAGTCTGTGTCACCACCTCCACCAACACTAGAAAATAAAATAAATCACATTTTTTGTCGATTTACAGTATCATTTCGGTCACAATTGATTTTATGGGTTGGGCCACTTAATTATCTGGCCAACCTTGTGTTGTGTAAACCCTCCACCACCCGACAGCATCACCGCTGTGAAATCAGGTTCTCAAATGTGAGTGTACAAGCATTTAATCTGCCAGTTACCTTGATGTTTCGCTGCGTGAAACATCTTAAGGTATTCAATAATAAAACTAATAGAAAAGTATTGAAAGTGATTGTATCTTTATGCCACCACCTCCCATCCTACCATACCCCAGCAGTGCTGATTAGTGAGCGATGGCGGCGTGCGCGGTGGAGGCAAACCCGCGCGGGGACTTCCCGGCGTGGCTGGCTGCACGCGGCATGAAGCCCACGTTCGCCGACGCCATGGAGCGCGAGCTGGGGATCAGCGACTACGAGGAGCTGCTGGCGTGCGCCGAGGACGCGCAGGTGACGGCCGAGCTGCTGGGCGCCGCCCGCGACCGCCTGCCCTTCGCCTTGTACGCCGTGCTGCGCCGCCTCGTGCTCGCGCTGGCGCCGGCGCAGCGGCGCGGGCGTCGCCGGCGGGGGACGATCCCGGTCGCCGGCGACAACGACGACGAGGGAGAGGAGCGGCGAGGGTCCTTGGACGAAGACGACGAGGACGCGGGGGCGTGCGGTCCCCGCTGCGAGGGGGCGCTGGCGAGCCGCGCCGTTCTCGGCAGCCTCCTGGACGCCATCGTGGCAACGCTGAGCTCGCTGAGTCGCGAGCTGCTGCAGTCGGCGCAGCGGTTCCGCTGCCTGGAGCCGGCGCTGGAGCCCGGATACTGTGGCTCCATTGGTGCGGCCGCGTCCAACTCTCCTGGAGAGAAGCTCATCGACACAGGTGACGCCGTCACGCCACCACTGCCGTTATATGTTTCTATGCTCACAGACACGCACTAAAACAACACGCACACACACGCCTACCGGATTACGTGATGCACCCCCATTGCGAAGTTCACATGGGTTCACTAAGCGAGTTGCATGTATAATCAAAGACACCCAGAGCATCTTACATAGACTCATACAAAGTGAATTCTGCAAACTCAGATGGATGTGTGGCGTTCACTTTGTGTTGCTGAGTAAAGGTCTTGGTCTGAGTGGCGTGTTCTCTCTGGCTTTCCCTAGACATGGTGGACGATGATAACGTGGAGAGCCTGGCGGACTTGCAACACGGCGAGATAGGAATGAACGGACATGCCATTTCGAGTCAAAAACCCTGTGCAGGTGAGAGGAGGTTGGTGGGTGGGTGGCCACACTTTGGAGGCAAAGTTTGGTGGTTTGTGTAGGACAGGGGTCTCTAACATAAGGCCTGTGGGTCAGATAAAGCCTGGCGCTTGGAAATGATCCACCGGCAATATATTTTTTTCTCTGTGCGCAGCTTGTGTGAACAGCAGCACCCGAGCTGACAAAGTTCCGTGCTTGTTTTTGTGTTTTTTAGACCGCGCCCAACGTGCCAACTGTGACCTCCACACCAGCACGCAGACGCCGTTTCTGAGCATTAAGGTCGAGCAAGAGGACGAGACGGAAGGTGAGATGCGTCTGTGTGGAGCACTTGTGGGGCAGCTGCCCTCCAGCAACAGTGGAGGGCAGAGGAGCGACGCTCGCAACGTAGCTGAGTGCAAGCAGCTAAAACGCATCAAGTTGGCAAATTGACTAGCACCGGGTGGTGCATCTGCCAGTCAACCCCATGGCCCCTGGGTCTGTACCGTGACCGCCTGCTGGCGAGCCTTCCACACTTTGCGTGATAGCCTGAAAGTGCATCTAACCTGGCACAAGCACTGGTGGCATCACCATCGTGGGAGGTGAACGGCGGCTGTTGCGAATAAAAATAAAACACTCGGCCTTCTAGACCGAGTGTGTCGTTTCGTTCGCACTCCGTTCACCACACTGCAGATCACATCACTTCTCTCTCTCTGCCTCTTCCATCGCACTGCTCCACTCTGGAATTCCCTCCCGTCGTTTATTTTCCCATTTCAATATTTGTGCAATTTTTTTTTATCTATTCCAACTTTGGAAGTGCTGTTTGTTACTAGCCGATTGATGTTTTAGACCTTTGCGCCTATGCCCAGCAACCGTGTAAAAAAAAAAAAGACGGTACAACGAGACGCAGCAAAGTGAAGAATCTGTCCATGAATCAAAATGACGACAATTCATCGAGTCGTGTGGGAGGGGGCGGGGCAGATAGGGGGGGGGTTGGGGGCGGGCGGTGGCAGTTGGGGGGGACGAGGTGAATCGTTACACCGTGGCCCAGCACGGGGAACCAGCGCTGCCTCCTAGCATCTTCGTCTTTCTTCAGGAAGGTTTTGGCAAGTTGCTGGAGCTCAAAACATCTTTGCCTTCGCCCTGCAGGAGACACAGCAGCCGAAGCAGCAGGGTGCCGTTTGCACGCCGGCTATTCAAAGCCACCAGCTGCAGAGCCGCAGGTCGCTGACGCCAGTAGCTCGCAGCACAGCAGTTCCGACTCGAACTTCCGCGTCACACTTTTGCCGGAGAGAGACAAAAGCGGCAGTTCGCCTCTTGACTGCGACTACGATGAGGACAAGGAGGAGGAGGAGGAGGACGACCCGTGCGGTCGCTCTGCGTCAGCAGACGAGGGACCATGCCGGCCAGAATTCCTGGGCTACCTCGACGGCACCGCGCTGGCACTGGTAGACGGCGGTCTGGAAGGGCCGGGGCTCGGGGCGTTGTGCCGGGCCGGCGTCGGCGGCGTCGCGCGGAGCGGCTCGACCAGCGGGGAGGCGAGCCGCTGCTGCGAGCAGTGCGGCCGCTACTTCTCGTGCCGCAGCAAGCTTCTAGTGCACGTGCGGCGACACACGGGCGAACGGCCCTACCGCTGCTCCTGCTGCGGGAAGACGTTCGCGCAGGCATGGAACCTGGTGCGGCACCGGCGGATTCACGCGGGCCAAAAGCCGTACGAGTGCCAGAACTGCGGACAGGCCTTTAGTCAGCAGAGCGAGCTGCAGAAGCACAAGTGCCAGTCGCCGTCACCGCCACCAGCGGCAGTGAAGGAGGAGAAGGGTGGGGGGTGTGCCAGATAGTGCTTGTGACGGATCAGTCTGCCGAACAACGAGCTCGTCCCCCTCGCCGTCTCCGCCTCGTCGATGTTTCGTGCCATCACGGTGGCCACCGTCTGCTGTGGTGCGCCGTACAGCCGAATGTGATCCATACTTTTATTAGAAGCAGTCGTTGATTGATGAGTTGCCGTGTAACGATTCACTGCTAACCCCCCACTCCAAAGGTGTGCTTTGAGGGTAGGGAAAATGCCAAATAATTATTTTAACTTTTTATTTAGCGTCAGCCATGCACATTTTATCTGAAAACACTGAAGATTGTGAACTACGAACAACATCCAGAAAGGGATGAGGAATGCTATTAAGACAACGCAAATACGGTCAAGGATGTGTGGTAACCAAACACAAACCAGGCGGGGTGACGGTAAACACTTGAGCCCCTCTCATTGCAGAACGTCTAGAGAATGACCACACATGTGTCCAGCGCGCCAACCATGGAGGACTCCAGCCTGAGTCCCCTACCTGGAGTCACCACAATGCTGCCAGATCGACACCAGAATGATTCATCCCCCCCGGTAGTTAATAGCTGCGGACAGCGACCGCCACCCCTCACACACAATGTAATTTTCTCTAAGTTTCCACCACCCTCGCCACCTCTCCCGGGAGAGTCGATGTATCGTAAAGTTGTCAGGGTTGCAACCTGATTCATGAATCTGTTGCGTGCATCTCGTTTGTGTGTTCTCGTGTGTTCTGCCCGTTTCCGTGGCGTTTTCCGTCTCGCGTGTGTTTTCTGTCGCTCCTTGTGTTGTCCCTCTCGTTTGGTACATGAGGCTACTCGAGCGTCGCACAGTGATTCCTCGTTTAACACGACAGATTCGTTCCCGAGAAGTGGCACGTTAACATGAAATGCATCAAGCAAAAACATTTTTCCCCACAAGAGATAATGTTAGGAATAAGTTTGGCCAACTACGATGTACACACACACACCATAAGGTGGCGGGGCAGAGAATTGAATTTCGGGTACGTTACGCACTGTGTCATTCTGCGTGTATACCAAGCATTCCCGTACCGCTCAGCCGTGCAGCTCAAGGAAGAGTAGTTCGTCGTCGGATGCTCAGAAACCGTGTTATTATGACGGGCACATTCTGCGTTTTGCAAAAAAGTATTCCCTAATAGAAGAACCGTGTTATAGTGAAATTGCGTTAAGCAAAGACTTGCCGTACAGTTTACGCATGTGTTTTTTTTGCTAGTCATTGATTTTTGGGTTAAGCTGCAATGATCTGGCCAAATCTTTTTTTTTTCCTAAGATCCTCCACCGGCCAACACGGTCAAACGAATTCAGATTGTCACGAGGTGTACAGGCATTTCGGGATCATTAAGGGCGGGTCAGCAAGTTACAATGGCAAACAATTTCAAAACTACTTTCGGAGTGCAAAATAGGTAAGCAAGTCAGGAGATATAAACAAATTATATAATTCAACTTTTTTCAAGACTTTGACAAGGCAGCAAAAACAACAACATAACACTCCCAGACCAAACTTAGGATAACACATTTAACGTGCCAACTGTTATTGTTTCGGCTCACTCACCAGTGGGTTCAGAAAATCTCGCAAACAAATATAAGCGTCCCTCGCATAGCGTGCGACATGCATTCCTAAACAATTAAGTATCAAGTTTCGATTTAAAGCTTTCGTGACTGCAAGGATTCATCTTCTTTGGTTCTTTCGGTAAAGTCACGTAGAATGAGAATAAAATTAATTGATAAAATAAAATAACACAATAATATTCTCACGACGTTTCGGCCACAACACAAGCGGCCTTCATCAGGTGAAGGGACGAGACTGTCTGGAGGACAGCGCTCTGGAGGACAGCGCTGTCCTCCAGACAGTCTCGTCCCTTCACCTGATGAAGGCCGCTTGTGTTGTGGCCGAAACGTCGTGAGAATATTGTGTTATTTGATCAATTTATTATTTTATTCTCATTCTACGTGACTTTACCGAAAGAACCAAACAAGAATTAAGTATCATTTGATTATTTTAGCCCTGGATTTGTAAAATAGACAAATTATCGTACCTAATTATGATATTAACATTGTAAAAAATACTTTAATAACCACTTATTAACAAAATAATTGCTCCTTGAAAAGATTTATATTTGATAAGGGTAACTTTCAGGGCTTCTTTGAACCCTTTCCGTGCATGATGCAAACAAAGACGGAAGATCTGCAGCGGCTACGCCCAGGCCCTGACACTGGGCGCTGCCTTGGCTCGGTGACGCCATAAGAAATATTCGGGTTTTTTTAATCGGAATTGTTATCGTTAAAGATTATTTTTTACTTGGAATTTTTTTATACTACAATCTCTTAGGTTTGTTTAATTCTTTCTGAGCACGCAACTGTGAAACGCATAGTCTAAGTGTCACGTATGCCCCTTAAAGATGAATCTCTTGACTCCGAATTTGTACTTTGGGAGTGGGGGAAGGGTTGGGGGGGTGGGGGCACGTTACGCGAGCGACGCCTGTGGATAATTTTCTTCAAATATTTCACCTGGAATATCGCTTGGGACGGATTACCATCGCGTCCGCAGGGGAGTCCAGGGTATCAATTGACACTTGCATAGCGAACACGTGATGGTGCCGCTTATGCGCGCGCACACACACACACATTTGAAATCTATAACTTCCATCGTATTAATTTATAGACGAGCGCACCCAGTCAAATAAAAATTGCACGCGTCATCGAGCGGTGTACACCGCCTGGAGCCAGCGAGGGAAATACACTTGTAAAGCAACCGCTAACAGTACGTTAAACGGAGGAGACTAAAAAGTAAATGATGGGCTTCGGAGATCTCGTGGCGTCATTTGAAAAGATTAGTCGGTCATTGGTGGGTTTGCAGAGCAACATCACCCTCCACTGTGAAACTACTGCAGACCGTGAAAGCGTCGCGCTATGCCAGTGTTCTTCACTCGTTTTCAAAGGCGGGGGTGGGGGCACTTTCGCTGATACTACATCATCAGTGTGAGGGCTGCCATCATCTGCAAGTGGTGTTTTCACTTTTGTGTATTGCTGGGAGGCCGCACCAGGGGCCGCCAGTGGCCCGCGGACCTTACAATGAAGAACACTGCGCGATGAGAATGGCGCAAATACCAGATTTTTGTATGTTGAACTTCTTTCGCTCCATACGTAGCCAATTTATATTAACTAAATTGTCAATAATTATTACTCGTTTGCTATCTGTGTGCCAATGGACACTGGACACTTGCAAATGAGACGTTAATCCATCCCGAGGGATTTTGCAGGTGAAATAATTTAATTGTTTTTTTTAGATGCATTACTGTACAGTAGATATTTTAATAGCACCTGTACCGTTTACAAGTATAATCCATTTCTATGTTTTTTTATGTTAACAAAGTATGTAATATTTACATTAATTCATTGACATAGATTAATTAACTTCGGTGAACTAACGCATTAATCAACATACATTAACTTTGTTATTATAGACCCCTGTATCAATTCATACTTGTGTTGGAGGCCAGGTGGCTCGGCAATCGGAACGAGCGGCTTCGCTATCAGAACCTTGTGGGGGCTCGATTGTTGGTTGGTTTTAGGGTCGGGGTGACGCGACCCCGTCATCCCGACACAGGCTGTTAAAACGAGTACCACTTTATTGGCGGGGGGGGGGGGGAAATCGACGGTGGTTGTCCAATGGGTGGACTTTTCCCCTACTGTGAAAATGTGGAATTCTACGCCTGGCTCAGGATGTGATGGTCATTTGCGCGGGAAATCAATCTCGTTGGCTTTTTAAATTTTTTATTATTTTTTTTACTAATGTTAGTTTGCGGTTGTTTATTGCATGTTGGTGAACAAACAAAAAAACCACGTGAATAACTTCCATTGTATTTTAAGGATTCACCAACAGCCGAGCACCATTTCCCCATTGGTCACACCGTGCTGGTGAGACTCGGGGAAGTCAAAACGAGTCCAGGCCTTGCATGCTGCAAGTTATTTTGTGAAGCCAGTCTGCTGTGCTCCCCCTTTCTGTATGTAAGCTCGCTTTTGTAACGCCTTCTCGCTTGTTTGTAGGTGGTTTTTCCCCCCCGTTGGTTTTATAACTGCTTCTCTTGTAAAGTGCTTTATAATTTTGAAACGAGCTTAATAAAGGATGATGCTGTTGATTAACCGAGACGTTACCATGCGTTGTTTTCAGCGGGCGGCGAGACAGACCCGGCGCACGTTTCATTTCGTCGTGATGCCGACGGTGAACGTGACCATTTCAGATTCCCCAGCACCGCGTGCCGCAAGGGTCTGGGTTACTTTCTGGGTTTTCCTCCTGGTCCTCCTGTTTTCCTCCCATAGCTCAAGCAAAACATCTGTATGATGTAACTGGTATTGCCCAAAACATCCAAATGCTGAAGTATTGCCCAGCAAATTTCTCAGTTGGGATCGTTTGAAGCAGCAGCAACAATGCCCCCCCGAACTCACGAGAGCTTGGCGCAGGACCCTCTTGGAAATAGTCTTTAATTTTTTGAATTTAGCAAACTAAGACCATGAGGCCGTCACACAATGGTCTCTACTCGTTTAAAATGACATCTCGCGGGATCTTTGATGCGTTCACTAAGCGAAGCGGACGGCGCATGCCATTTTTCACGACAGTAAAGCACCCCACAAGAATAACAACATCCAGGGGGCGGCCCACCGGTTTACAAACTGCGGATTTCTGCAACAAGTGGCTAACGCGCCATCGCTGAGCCACGTCACCGGTCACCGGTTTCGGGCGCCCATGCATTTCTCGCTTGTGCCGCAGACGCGCTGGTGGTGGAGGAGAAGGAGGAGAGCGCGTGGGAGCACGGCGAGCGGAGCGGCGAGGGCATGTGGGACGGTAAACAACACCACACAGTTATACGTCTCTCGTCATCTCTTATTACCATCTGACCAGTAACACACGGTGCGCACAATGTTGCGACACGCCTGTCCACTTCTAGACGTGATTGGTTAGAATTGGCTGAGCTGGGTGGGACGTGCACGTTGGAGGAGGAGGGTCAATGTGGAGACCGGGTCAGTGCCTGTCTCGGCCAAGTCCTGCAGCAAAGGAAAAGGCCTAAGAGCGAGCAGATGGTGGGAGACTATCAAGGAAGATCTATGGGTTTCTGTGAGCCTGCAGCTTCCTGTATGATGCTGGAGGTCTCTGTGTATCTTTGTGCGAGCCTTAAGAGCAGATGGTGGGAGACCGTGAGGGCAGATCTGGGAGAAAGCGTTTGTAGCGACGACTGGTGGTGGCATCATCAGCTTTGGCCACGGTGACGCCTTGATCCGTTTGTCCGTCTTTCCGCTTCCCTGGCACCAGATTTGACAGTCGACGCTGAGCAAAAGCACGTGGTAAAACCGCCGGCGCGGAACTCGGCCAAGCAGCGCGACCGGAGCTGGGCACCGGCAACGGAAGCGACGCGTTACCGTCGCGTCGCAGCGGCAGCGCCGCCAATTTCCTACCGTGGAACTGGCTGCGGCAATAGCGCCGCCACCACCAACGACGATGACGACAACGACGACAACAACCACAACGAAAACCTGGACGACGAGCAGGGCTTTGCCGACGACTACGGGGAGGACGAGGACGACGAGGCGATGGGTGGGGGATTGGCGGCGGGGCAGTTCGCTTGCGCCGAATTGGCCATGCCCGGCGAAGCCGGTGGCGAGTGGGGTAGCGTCGGCGGTAGCGGCGGGAGGGAGAGGCGGTTCCGCTGCCACGTGTGCGGGAAGCGCTTCCTGAAGGGCCGCGACGTGACGCGCCACATGCGCACGCACACGGGCGAGAAGCCTTACGCGTGCGAGGCCTGCGGCGTCCGCTTCACGCAGTCCTACAGCCTGACGCGGCACTGGCGGCGCCGCCACACCGCACGGCCCCTGCCGCCGCTACTGCCGCTGCCTCCGCCGCCGCACGACCCGCGCCGCCCTCTCTCCCTGCCCCGAGCGGCTGATGTCTCCTGAACCGTGCCCCCTGTGGAACCCTGCCACTTTCCTCTTGCTTCATGGGGACCTCCCTTGCCAGTATCAAAATGTAAGAATAGCTTTTACCCCAAACTGAAACCTTTTTGCAAGGAATCATGTCTGCATTAACCACATATACTTGTGGTGAACGTGCAAAAAAAAACATGCTCTGATAGTATATGCATTGTCTTTCAAACTGATTGGTCCACACCAGAGACAGCTTTCTTTAGAACCTATTCTCAAACAGTGTTAGAGACCAGAGGACAACGCCAAAAGGCGAACAGCACAAAGACAATGCCGCTATCAGGACATTGAAAGCTCGGGGTCAGCAGTTGCATGTTCACCATAAGTATATGTGGTTAATGCAGACATGATTCCTTGCAAAATGTTTCAGTTTGGTGTTTTAACATCTTAACACCTGTTTTATTGCCAGAAAGGGTAAAACCTATTCTTATATTGCTCCTTGCTACCGCCTGTCATCCCGGCTGCCAGTGTTTCCAACTCAAAACACGGGAATATACCGGATGTTGATCGATGCGATGTTTAAATTCGCCGAAACTATCGCGTTGATTTAGAGAGCATTGAATGTAGCGAGCTGATACAGGGTCCCCTGAATGCACCCACCCATAATTGCATATACATTTGAATTATGTCCTCGTCTGGAATGTGACCAGATTGTTTGCCAGTCACTTTAGCACAAGGTGTTACTCGGCATGTGGCCATGTATTGCATAGAAGTTAAACATTATTTCCTGCTCAAATTAGCATTGAGGCAGTGCTCTTCTGTTTATAGCCTCGCTGAGCCAATGATGGAAATTCCACATCCTATGGTGGGTGGCGAATCAATCTATAGGACAACCAATGTTGACTTCCTCAGAAGGTGGTACTTGTTTGATCAACCTGGTCTGAGTCGACACCAGTAATCAAGATCTGAACTCACAACTTGCCAATTGTGGACTGCTTGCTCAGCCGCCACCTGGCCAAATCACAAAATAAACTCGTACAGGAGCCTGAATACGTGCCTGAAATCGGCATGCAACAAATAATAATTGTCGTTGTGGAGATAACAAGCAGCAAAATCAACAAGTACACAATGCAGCCCTTTCCCATATCTCAGATCAGATATGGGGGCGGGGGCATTCTCCTGCGCAGCCCACGGTCGCGTTCATCCTCTGGTCAGCTCACAGCAAGGTCCCTTACTAGCCCTCACCCCGGAGGTAACGGTTCAACCTGCAGCCACGAGGAAATCCGACTCCCCGCCGGAGAGGGACTCTAGGCGGATCCTGATGGTCCGCTCTCGGGAACCTGCGATCAGTGTTGAGGAAAACCACGTCCCTGGAGACCATGCAGTCAATGCAGGAGCTTCCAGCCCACGAAAACATGATCGCTCTCCCTCCGCATTGGCTGCCGTCGGAGACCCAAGTCCAGCGATGCAGGCCAGGAGGCCGTCGGAATCGTGAACCAGCAATTCTCAGCCACTCAGACGTTGCAAAGTTAAAAAGCGAGGATTCGTTGCTATACTTCGTAAGCCATGTGGACCGATACACACTTATAAACCGGCCCTCTCCCAGGGTATGTATGTACTGAATGTTGAACTACTTCTGTATCGTCCGTAGCCAACCTTGCTAATCGGAGGTGCGGGGAAAAGACAACAATGGACCTCAGGCCACTTTCACCTTTAGTCTGCCCAATTCCCCTTGATAGGAGAGGTAAGGTATCATCATCTCCCAGAGTTAGGACGTTCCAGGAACCGAATGTTATGATTTTTCCGAAGGTTCACACCAGTCTGGCACCTTTGGGGTAACGACCCCTCAACTCTCCCTCCACATAAAAGAAAAGTTTTTTTTTACAAATCCCATCGGCGACGCACCTTTTTGGATGTGCATATTTCGGCAACATTGATTTAAACACAAGCGAACTCGGGACCATTTTTGGAATTCATTGTCTCATCAGCAGTCGGGTTTGCTTGTAGCAAGGACCGTCTTAGATATACCAAAATACAGTCACTCAAATCTAGCGACAAAATGGTTTAGTTGGCAGCACTGAGCACACTCAGCCAGGCGTTTGCTCTATGGTGTCTGCCGTTGAATTTTATTAAAATTGGCGAACCAAAGGAGATTGGTACCGCGGGAGTTTCAGCAGCTTGGTCTACACTTTGAGCGAGATAAATTTGCAGTTTTTGCCATCTATCCACTGTTGATGAAGGCCTCTGCAAAAACCACCGCTATCTCGTGGGTGTCGCATTGCAACGATTTTTCTATAGGGACCATAATCACATGCTGGATAGAGTCTACAGAATGTAGGGTTTTGTTTGTCGGTGCATACGATATTTGGGCTCTGGGCTCAGTCTAACGTACTATATTATCGGTTCTATCAGCCATGATCTGTCTGCTGCTGGATGAAGGATTCTACACAACCGTCGCCGCCTGTTACAGGTCTCGCGACAGAACGATCCATCTCCTGCGCAAAAGCCAAGTTGATCACTCCGTCTTTGAGACGTACGTCCTCTCAGACACGTTCCCTGCTGTGGTTGGCACTTGTTATGATCGACCACTGACCGGCAGTCATCCCTACTTCACAACTTGACCATCCCAAGCCCCATTAATATCTTAGGAGTTAGAATTTTGAACATGGCTAGCATTGGTTGCAAGTGATAGCTGAACCAGCCGTTGAAACCCACCCACACTGACCAGCGTGGTAAAGTATGATGAAGTGACCCCCATGGCTGACACTGCATGGAGAGGCCTTCATCCAGCAGTGGATATTCGGGGGACCGCGGAAGATGCCAGGATTATTTCCCCTGGTCTCTGGCCGGACACGGTTATTCTTCAGTTTCTTTGTAATTTCCGTAACTGCTGTCGGAATCGTGCTGTGAGATGAAATCTTTCAGCTGGCAAGTGCACCACCATGTATAAGAGTGGTCCCTGTAAGGTAACTTCACGGAACTACTTCTGAAGTCACGTCAATAGGCCTCTTCATCCACACCAGTGGCACATGTTATAGTGTCCTGCAAACTTTTTGTATTTCAAATAATTTTTTATTTGTGCAGTCTGCGGCGACCAGGCTGCTGAAAATGTCGAACCCAGGATCTCATTGGTGACAGCTCAGTGTCTCTGACCTCTGAGCCACACGGCCGCATGTATTTTTACAGGACCATGCTTTTTAAAAATATATATATATTTTTGTTGCTGTCAATATTCTACCCTGTTCCATAAGAGCTGTACATTTTTTTCGATGGTTAATTAAAATGGTTGGAATCCTTATTGTAAGTTTTTTTTTTACCATAGCCATTTCGTAAACGCTTTATTGCGCGATGGAAGATGGCAACCTTTGGTGATCTTGCTCATTTCAAGCGCGACCTTGTATAAATGCCCACACTTGTTCGTCGGCGTTAAACCGCATGCCGTATTTTAAACAAATTATCATGTCCTGCAGCATTTGTATGTATGTTGAACTTCTTTCTCACCGTACGTAGCCACAACCGTGCTAAGCGGAGGTGCAGTCGGAAGAATCGCGTTCGCTAAAATCATTTTTCGACCACTTGGTTTTCCTGTGTAAAAGCGCTTAACACTAACTTGAAATAAAAGAGCTTTTGTATGCAGGACCAACAGGGTTTATTTGGTGCACGAGTGCAATTATTGTTGCTTGTGAACCCATTGTTATTGTAACTTTGAGCGGAAACGTATTTCCTTCCCCGGATGCTGCCATGGTGGCGTAATGGTCACACCACTGAACTTGCAATCCAGAGGGCACCGGTTCGATTCCATCTCACGGCGCTGGGAGTTGAAACAATGGGGCAACGTTTCATCACCCCCCCCCCCCCACTCTGCCTCTGTCCACCCAGCAGTGTAGATGGTTTCACCACAGTTAGTGGATGGACAGGTCGCGTGTGGTGGGGTTAAGTGTGGGTACTCACACTTTCAAGACGTCTGACCAGTGTGAAAGAATATGCCAATGCTCTTTTAGGGCCGACTAAAATATCTACATTATTAAGCATTAGATATTACATTCTAAAAACTGTAAACGTTTTTAGTTTAGCAGGTAAGGCCCACAGAGCTATACATCTCGTTTTCAGCAGCAACCTGGCCGCAAATGATAGCCAAACGAAGTGGAAGTGGCTTTATCGTGTGGACATAGATAGCAGCCAAATATAGTAAGGGCATGCTGATTCTAAATGTGGAGGGGAAAAAACTAAATAGAGGACCCGGAGAAAAATCCACGCAAACTCCAAATATACAGCAGCAGGCATCAGGGTCGGGATCAAACCCACGGACCTCCTGTAACCAGGCGAGGTAGTTAACATCTCGCCACCGCGGCGACCATAATGTCTGTCGCATGACATTACGCCTATTACCTATACAGGCGTTGGGGTCGGGATCGAGCCTACAGCCTCCTGTACATACCTGTCAACCCATACGGTTAAGCCGTATTCATGTACAGGGAGTTTTCAGGTCCATACAGCGTAGGGAGGTTTCAATACGGGCAAAGCAAAATTGTCTGTGTTTTCTCCCTTGTAATGGGACTTTGTAGGATGAGCGTTGAGATTTATAAGGGGCACGGGCTGACTAAACAAGGTCTGAATTGGTCTGCAATAAGCTCGGGATTTTTTTGCACACAGCGTTGGTGTACGGTGCTTTTTTCAGGAATATTTTGCTGCTTTTGTTTCTTGGATTTTCTGTTTGCCCAGTCACACAAAGTCACTTTAAGATGTTTTTTTTCTTGTTCGGGTTTTTTGTTTGTTGTGGGTGCACCCGATTCAAGAGCCGAATGGCTCACAGGGCTATACCAGAATAAATAAACTGAAAAAGAACTTAAGGAGTCTACAGGTTTGCCTGTAAGCCAGGCGAGGTCGTTAACATCTCGGCACCGCGGCAGCCGTGATGTGCCATTTGCGCGACGCATGACGCCGCACGTGTCCCCATTAATGAGTAGAGGGGTCGGTGGGCGAGGGAGGGAGGCCGGGCGGGCGAGGGAGGCCGGGCGAGGCAGGCGAGGGAGGCCGGGCGAGGCAGACGAAGCAGGCGGGCGAGGCGAGGGAGGCCAGGAGAGGGAGGGAGGGAGGCCGGGCGGGCGGGCGAGGCGGCTGCCCCGTGCCGTTGTGGCGAAGTCTCCGGCGGCCGACCCTTGACCCGGTGACGTCACGGGCGCCCGGCCGCCCTCTTGTCTCGCCGTGGCGTGCGCGCCTCGGTCTCTACACCAACCACCTCTTCTCTCCTCCTCCTCTCCTCTCTCTTCCGTCTAAGGGCGAGTCGCTAGCGACTCAACGGACGAGGAGGAGGGTAGCCACTCTTTGAGTTGCCTCGGGCCCACCCGGGTGCCCGCAAGTGGACGCGGGAGTCTCGGCCGAGAGGGGGGTAAGAAGCCTTCGGCCTACGCCATTCTACCACCACCACCCCCCTCCACAGTTGTTAGTTTTGTTTGCTACGTGTGTTGCTTTGAAATCGGTTGCGAATCGATGTATTTGTTACAACAACAAAAACCCGATCGGTGTGCGTTGTGTACTTGAGTGGCACGCGCGCGCGTCAGTCACAAGTGCTGCTCGTGTTTGTGTGCGGCGTGTTGGTTACTGATGGGGGAGGGAGGGAGGTGGTGGTGGTGGTGGTTTAGTTCGCCGTGCGAACACGAAGTGGATTTGTTCGCTCAAGTTGCATGCAATTTAACGTAGCCTGGGTGATGTCTTCGTGCCACAATGATGCTGCTGCACAACGTGGAGTTCTCGACGCGGATATCGGAGGAGGCAACGGGCGGCGACGTTTCGGGCAGTGGCCCCTTGGCCGCTGAGGGGTTGATGCCTTTGCTGTGAATGAGGGCCGTGTTGTTCGTGGTTTGTTTCAACAGTCGCGGCGTGTTTATATATTTGTGTTGTCGAAAAAAAGCTCTGCAAGCAATTATCACCGGAAGTCCACTCTCTCCCCAGACGTGCAATATGTTTTTTGTGTCCACCCATTGTTCATAGACGGCGGACCATACCTCTAGGAAGCACTTGCGTTTTACATAACACATTTAAATTAGTTTTAAAATTGTCTTCTGCAGATTCCTCTACCCTGCTTGCAAGGTTCAGGAATACATGACGAAAAATAACTATTTGAAAGTCCCTTTGAGCCGAACGTTTCTTGATGTCCTTCCAAGTCCTATTTCAATTATAATTAGGATATTTCCGCTAATTGAATTATTCTGATGATTGTTACCCATAATGCAATGTGGCAGCAACGTGTATTTAAAAAAATATATAAATTGGTGTGTGTAGTGACCCATGTTTTATGATTGTGGCTTTTATCTGTTATTCAATAGCTACTAATAGGTAACTTCATATGCCAATTTAATAACTGGTCATCAGAAAAGTTAAACAAATTTAAGTCTTCTAAGGCCCCATGGTGTAAAGTTGCGTTCACCAACTTTGTCCACAGTGTTATTGATGAATGTGTTGCGTTTTCTGTTTTTAGTCAACTAAGTTGACTATTTTTTCCAAAACGGAACAGTGTTTATTTAGCAGAAGTTACTGGTTTAGTGTGCTATGATCTACACATTTTTATAGTAGCGTCCTGACTGTAATTGTAAAAAAAAATATTTAACGTTGTTGTGGACAACTTAAGTAACAAAATAAGTACCGTAATTGGGCCGGTCCCCAACCAGGGCCAGAGAATGGTCTCATTTCCAATTCCTACACGGGGCCTACATGACGAACCAGAGGAGGGCCAAGCTTGGTGCAGCCTTATCTTAGTATGCTTTCGAGTAATGTCTGACTATTGTTGAGCTCTGTGAACATATATCGGGGGTTTGCCATTAGATTACCAATACATCTGTGAATACCAGTGTGGAAACTACCCTGTGGGGCTCTAAAAGAAGTGGAGCTGACCCAAGAACGGAGGAGCGCTTTGTGAAGGACTTTTAATATAGCGGCCAGGAAAACTATATTGAGTACGTGGAAAAATGACGAAACCCCCACCCACCCACCCATACTCAATGGCTGAATTCATTAGGTCCGATCTCGGACCTGTAGCATCTGAGCTATAAGCTCTAGAGACAAGGAATAATAATGAACATGATGTCCATTTCTAAACCTTAGACCAGTCTTCAACACCTCAACCCAGAACAACGAGCGGTCAACCCTGCCTCCCCCGAAGAAAAACTCATTACCCCCCTCCCCCCGTGTGGGCACTGATGCCTGATACTGCTAATGGCCTTGGAACGACCGCCTAGAACGTCAAAATGTTGACCTATATAAGTCAAATGTATGATGTGAGGGAGGAAGTGGAATTCAAATATTTCATAAAAAGCGCACCACCATTTCTCTCCACACTGTGGGCAGCGCTATCTGGGCGAGCGATGGCGGCGTGCGCGGTGGAGGCAAACCCGCGCGGGGACTTCCCGGCGTGGCTGGCTGCACGCGGCATGAAGCCCACGTTCGCCGACGCCATGGAGCGCGAGCTGGGCATCAGCGACTACGAGGAGCTGCTGGCGTGCGCCGAGGACGCGCAGGTGACGGCCGAGCTGCTGGGCGCCGCCCGCGACCGCCTGCCCTTCGCCTTCTACGCCGTGCTGCGCCGCCTCGTGCTCGCGCTGGCGCCGAAGCGGCGGCGCGGGCGGCGCCGGCGGGGGACGATCCCGGTCGCCGGCGACAGCGACGACGAGGGAGAGGAGCGGCGAGGGTCCTTGGACGAAGACGACGAGGACGCGGGGGCGTGCGGTCCCCGCTGCGAGGGGGCGCTGGCGAGCCGCGCCGTTCTCGGCAGCCTCCTGGACGCCATCGTGGCAACGCTGAGCTCGCTGAGTCGCGAGCTGCTGCAGTCGGCGCAGCGGTTCCGCTGCCTGGAGCCGGCGCTCGGAGCGATCGGCGTGGAGGCCGTCGAGGGGCCGGCGGCTCCCTCGGTGGTGGAAGGGGGAGAGCAGGACAGCGAGCCGGTGGAGACTTACCAATCGGTGGAGGAGCAGGGAGGATGGGCCGAGATGAGCACCGACAACATCAAGCAGGAGTCGGGTACGAGGTCCCGTGGCGCTTGCGGTTTAGTGGGTACTGCGGAGCCGATGGGATAATCAATAGAGCTGGGCTCGCCGATTGTCTAAGTAATTGGTCGACTGCCGATAATTTACACACAAGTTATATTCTTAGTTCTTTCGGTAAAGTCACGTTGAAGGGAAACAACAAAATAATAAAATATATATAAAACAATAAAAATATATATTTTATTATTTTGTTGTTTCCCTTCAACGTGACTTTACCGAAAGAACTAAGATAATGAATTACTGCAGTCACGAAAGCTTTAAATCAAAATTTACATTCAAGTTATCGGGCGAATAAGGTTTCCCTTCTGTTCCATCGCGTGCCGCTACGTAAGAGATGTGTTAATTGCAATGTTTTGTTTATGATTAGTTTGCCCGTTCGCGGCTTTACGATCGTAGAGAAAACAACAGCGTACACATTTTGAACGACGTCACGGGATTTTTAACGTTGACCGCGAGCGAAGCAGGCGGCGCGTATCATTTTATTGTGGATACACTCCGCAGTAATAACCAGGGCAGCCTGCCGGTTTCGAAACCACGAACCCCCGTAAAACAAGCGGAAAAAATCAAACGGGCTGCGTCGCCGCCGTGGACAACGGCACCTGCACCACGAAGCAGGGCGCGCTAACGGTTCGCTCGTTCGCTTTGATCGGGCAGAGGCAGGCGCGGAGGCCAAGTGCGATCTCAAGGGCTCGCAGGCTGGGGAGCCGGTCGGCGAGTGGGACCCAGCCGACTGCTACGAGGAGGAGACGGCGCACGGATGGGCCAGCCTCAAAGCCGAGCAGGACACGGCCTGCGGTGGTGAGGAGTGCGGCCCCCTGTGAATAGAGGACATCATCATCGTCATCATTATAAGCGTTGTGGAAAATATGAGTAGCAGAGTAATTAAGCAGACGGGTGTGCCTCTTTCAACGTGCCTACGAACAACTGGCTGTTCACCAGCAATGGTTCAAGCGAGCTTGACCTTGCCGATGACACCCTGTATTTTGAAACCGCTCCAGCGTTTGCCTGCGTTGAACCAACAGAAGCTGTTGATAAGTATGCATAGGGGGATCAGTAGGTCCAGATTGTCTAGTTATCTGGAGTTGGCCAAACATACCAATGTAGGACCACAGAGCTTGGGAAATTGTTGCCGCCAGTTCTAGCTGCCTTCCCACCACTCCTCTGTAAATGTGGTTGCTGTGGTGGTTGTCATCGTGATTGTTATTGCGGCTGTTGTGTTGCGGTGCAGGCGAGATGACCGACATGGAGTCCGGTGCTGAGCCGGCCATACTCATGGATTCGGTGGTCACTGGTACAGCGCACGAGCATGACCACTGTGGTTGAGCGTCTTCGTCGTCGTTTAAGTTATTCAAACAGATCAAGCACGGATGCGCCTGATATTGTCACAGATCAGAAGCTCGTGGGGCTGATCCTGGGTTGTACTTGAATGCGTTACTGCTTGGGAACGCCAACTGTTGTAGGCTTGGGCTGCCAAGTGGCCAGGAGATGGCAGTTTGGCAGCAGATTTTTGATTCTGTGTCTATGAAGCTGTGAGTCTTACCTCCTCGAGCGTAGCTTTTATTTACGTTTGATTCATGTTTATTTTGTGCGATCATTAATAGTTGACATGCTGGTTTATTGGTTGCGATTGGCATGGTGAATCTAGGACTTGGTACGAAATTGTTTTTTTGGGGAGAGATCGTGGTGATAGTGTCAACTGACCTCCTCCACCACATGGCAGTCAATCAAATTAAGTTGCTGCGTGGGCAAATACGCCAACCGATGTGGCTTTTATTAAAAAAACCGGAGGAAAGTTGACAAGCGAGCAGAATGTTTACATTTTGTCTGACTTTTTGCTGGAGATTACATCCAGCATCGTCAGGCATTAGCAAGAACTTCCTGGTTCTTCGGGTCCTTCGTCCTTCAGTAGTATTTGAACCAGTGTCATCATTAGAGTTAGTTGCTGGTTTATTGATTGTGATTGGCAGGGGTAGATTAGCTAAAGAAGGTGAATCTATTTAGTAGATGGTGAAAATATGCTATCCTTAATTATATTAAAGTGTATTGCGTTGGTGACCAAAGCTGGAGTTAAAATTCTCTCGTGATTCTAGTGAATCGTTAACTGGTTAATACGGTTCATTACATGAGCAATGGGTAATTAGTGATACAGGTTGAGTGATGAGATTGTTGCTGGCATGCTGGTATAATACATGATCAATTGAGTTATTCTATTTGGCTAGAGTTGTTTCCTGTCGCTGAATTGAGCGTTATGTAATAAGTATAATGTAATTAGCTCAGGGTAGGTTATCTGTTCCCTATTTGCCCGTCAGTATTGGCATAGCCGTGTGAGCAATACATGCCATGATATATGATTGCTTCTGACATTCCCACTTCGCAGTGGGGTACAATGATTGTCCTCAGTGTATTAATTCTTTGACTCATTTTAATCATCTTGCTCGTCAAGTGAAGTAAATATTATTTATATTCTTGGTTCTTTCGGTAAAGTCACGTAGAAGGGAAACAATAAATAATAATAAAATAATAAAAATATAATATAAAATTCTCACGACGTTTCGACTGCAACACAAGCAATGATCATCAGGTGTGAAAACCACAGCAAGAAAATTTGAAAAAAGTGGCGTTTTTTTTATGTTAGCACTACAGAGAGCGATTTGACAGTTTGTTCAGATGGATGAGTCCATCTAAGTTCGGAAAAGAGGAGGGGGGAGACGAAAATTAATGGATGCGGTCTGAAAGCCACCTTAAGCGTGATCAATCAATTAAGATCCGAAATGGTTTATCAAATCCTTCCAATGATTGCTACGCCAGAATCCATGTTCTCGGTTGAAATTGTCTCTGTGTTTGCATATGTGGATAGCCTCATGAACGAATCTCTCATGGTAGCCAGATGGCTTGCAAAGAACCTCTGTTTAAATCAAAATTTCAATATTATTTATTTGCTTGCACACCCTCGCGCCTTTCTCCCACAAATCTGCCGCTCAAGCAGCACTCATTTGGACTGCGTCATTCGTCCGCACGTATTGAATCCGCTGCTCTTAAACGTAACGTCGAGTGCCACTGGCACACATCACAAATAATCTTCCATGTTGAGAATCGGTTATTTACGACGTGTCGATTGAATAAATCGTGAGATATTGATGCCATGCAGGACGCTCGCGTGCATCAATCGCAAGCATAACCATTTCACACGCGACTAAAATGATCGGCGTCTTGAGAGAATATGGCAATAAATATGCAGACACTACGCTATGCGGCACAAGTCTGTCCCATCAGCCACACGATGCCTGCTGGAACAGTGTGCGTCAAACGAGGACCTGTGTCTCACAGAGAGGATCTTTTGACAATTATCACCCGGCAGCTCGCCAGCATTGGATCGAGCAAGTCTGACTCGGCTGATGAGACGCAAAATGTTAAAACCGGTCCATAGTTTGCCTCTGTTAAAGCAACGTTCTGAAATCATGCACGACCAGAAGACCTCGTGGCCGATTGGATGTGTAAAAAACACAAATACTTTTATGTTTTCACGTGGAGGAATAGATGCGTGAAGGCGTCGCGTTTACTGCTACTTTGTGGATCTATGGATCATTGCACACACAGTAATTGCTAATGAGATGCATTCTCCGCGTGTGATTGACAAGGTGAGAACTGCTACGAGTACCAGGAGGGGCAGCTCCACACCGAAAACCCCGACTTCGACCGTAATCACTTCGCCGCCGCCGTTGACGCCGCCTCCGTTGGCCATCACCAGCAGGCCGGCACGGCGGTGGCGGTGGGGTCCGCTCGTCCTATCCGGCCCCACCAGCACCAACATTACGGCACCCCGGCGGGACTGGCAAGAGAACCCAAAACCCGTGATGGATCCGCTTGGAACGGCGCCACGATCATCACCCGGCTGCAGAAGCACGAGCAAGCGGTGACGGGCGCCTCGCAGGAATCGCCGTTTCCACCGACGGGATCCGGCTACCGGATCACCGTGGCGCAGCCGGCGCGGTTCAGGAGCGCCGGTCGGCGCGGCAGCGACGGTAACGGCGGCATCGGTTCGTCCGGCTCGTCGGCCGGGCCGGCCCCGCCCCGGCCGTTCTGCTGCGAGGTTTGCGGCAAGAGCTTCCTGCAGCAGGGCTCGCTGCAGATCCACCGGCGCCGGCACACGGGCGAGCGGCCGTACGCCTGCGCCGACTGCGGCCGCCGCTTCTCGGTGTTTTGCAACCTGACACGGCACCGCAAGACGCACACGGGCGAGAAACCGTACGCCTGCCACGCGTGCGGCAAGGGATTCATCCAGCTCATACACCTCAACAAGCACCGCTGCAGCTGCGTGCTCATCTCCTGACGCAACGTCACCGCCGCCTCGTCCGCACCATTACACGCCCCGCGGGTGTTGCGTAGTTTTCACAGAAGTAGTTGAAGTAGGAATGGTTCACGTGTGATTTTTGGGTTGGGCCACCGAATTAGCTGACCGCGGCGGTATCGCGACGAAGCTTCCACCACTCGACGCATTAAGTTGTCGCGCATGCCAGCTCTCGACAGCGTGCCGATCGCTCTTGTTTCACCTCGCTGGTGAGTTCCAGAGCAATCCTCACGGCCAAATTTAGCGATTGGAAACGCGAGGTTTTGCTTGAAACTGCGTCAAACATCATCAGGACAGGGTCCAGGAAATCTCGAGTAACAATCCAGGAAGTCAGGATCACTGCCGCATGCTTCCTTTAAACACGTGTCGCATCAAAACTACGCGTTTAAGCGAGTAGGGACGATGATGGTGATCGCGATGATTGATGTTGCTGTTGTGCTGGGCGTGATGGATCGCAACAGCGACGAAAAATCAGTCGTATGAATAATGATATTGTGATGATGATTGTCATGTGATACTGCTGAGCGTTGCGGGAGATCGCATTACGGTCATTATGACAACAATCTCGTGGTTTTCGTACAGTAACCACATGGGTTTTTGTTGTTGTAGTTGCAGTCGTGGTGACAATGCTGATGAACCAGTGTATACCTCTCGTCGCCGTGGCTTTGACTTCTGCTAGTTCACCCACTACGGTCTTGCCAGCGACTCGGAAAGTATTTCCGCACTCGGCACACCATCCAGTATACCTCTCGTCGCTACGGTTGTGACTAGCAGTCACGTGCCACCTACTCATCCGGTCTTGCGAGTGACCTAGACAATGCTCTTTGGTTCTTTCGGTAAAGTCACGTAGGTATAAAATAAGATTAAATCACGACGTTTCGGGCGCAACACAAGCGTCCATCATCAGGTGGGACGACCACAGCAAGAAACAACTGCTCAAGTGGGCGAAACGTCGTGATTTAATTTTATTTTCGACCGATGTTACTTTACCAAAAGAACCAAAGAGTGGATCCCTGCAATCACGAAAACTTCAAATCTAGATTGACCTAGACAATATTGAGTGAGATGCCTAGCCCCGGGTGATGGCGCTAGCGAGTACGTGGTGTCGCGTAACTGTCGTATCTGCGATTCGTAATTGAGTCTTGGGTGCGAGGCCGTGGAATGATGTGGCCAGACCGGACGCAGAAAGACTTCTTCACAATTCTGGCAAAAACCGCCTGAAGATGGTTGTAGTAGCCTGCGAAACATCACACTGAAATTGTGAATGTTGTGGGTTTGCGCTCCCATCGCACCGGTGTGCTGAAGTCGGAGCCGTTTGGCAACTTTTATTCACGTGACAGACCTTACCGATTGTCTGTCAGGTGCTGGTGGGTTAACGACACATTTAAGTGATCTAACCCCAAAAATCTTGTTTTTTTTTTACACACCTATAAGCGCCCAGAAATGTCTGTCCGTCCCGCGCGTGACGTCACTGCAATAGAGACCCCTCCATTAATATTCATGCCCGCGTGAAAATTTACACTAACGCACAAGGTCGCGCACTCCACATGCCGCACCACTCCCCCCCCCCCCCCATTAATAATGAGCGGGTGACGTCACTGCACATGGGGCAACCCCCCCCCCCCCACATTAATAATCATTAATATTCATGCTGAACTATTTTTCTATGGAATGTTTCAGATTTACTGCAACAACACCCGTCCTTGGGCAAAAAAGTTCTTAATAATATCCAGAAAGTCGGGATAAAATACAGGTGACGGTTGAATTTGTTTGGCCAGGTCAGTGGTGGAGGGTCTTGTGAAAGATATTTGGCCAAATAATTTAATTGACCCAACCCAAGAATCAATTGTGAATCGCATTGACTGCAATATCCTACGTGTTAAGTTATGTACAGTAAGTACGTGTGTTATGTATTTTTTTTATTCGGAATAAAAGCAATTTATAACGCGCACAATATTTCACGGACATCAATGACCGTGACTCCCGAGGCTCGGTAGCCGACGCCCGTGTCGCTCGAAGGCCCCGGGAGAAGCAGTTGGGGCCTTCTTGGCGTCTCTCGGAGTCGCTGCCGAGTGGACGCCGCCGCCGCTACCGTGAACGTGCGGCAGCAGCGCCGGCGGGACGATGGCCGCGTTCCAGACTGCGGTGGGGGGACGCTGCCACGGAGGATCGATCGTCCTGGGCCTCGGGTGTAACGAGGAGGCGGAGGTTGCGAGTCGCGCTGCTGTAGACTGTTCTTCCGCGAGCTGCGGAGCAGGGGGACGGGAGCAGAGCGACGTGGAGCACGAGCGAGAGTCGAGGCGCAGTGGCGGCACGGACGGCAGGGGACTTCGAAGCCGCCGGCCCTGCTGGCAATGTCGGGAAGCCAGTGGAGGGATCGGCTGATGAGTGGACTGTTGGGGTGCTAGATTGCGGGATTTGACGCTGCGGTTGGCGTAGCTGTCACAGGGCAAAGTGGAGCCGATAAGTAACGCCGAAGAACTTGATGTGGTCAGAGGAACGGAGAGCGAAGCCAGCAATTGTTAGTGCGCGAGAAGGGAGCGTGGACGCGGCGGCGGCGGCGGCCAACATGAGTGGACGAGTAGGCCGTGAACAGCACGGGGCCGAGGATTGAACCACGAGAGTGACTGGTGCGTGAGAGCTTTGCCTCCGCAGATTAAGGCTCCACACACCGAGAGAGACCCCAAGCCTTTTCTCAGAGTGGTCGGACATCGGGGGAGTTGTGGTCCTGGGCGTGAGAGGGGTCAGGGTGAAGCTTGCGGGGATGCCTCTGGTTTTTCGGCGATGTGGCAAAGTGTGTTGGTGACGTCCGTGCCCAAGGAGGTTGTGAGCTTCAGCGGTGCGTGTGTGGGGGGGGGTGGTCATCGTTGCTGCTTCGCGGTAGTCGGAGTAGTTAGCGGTCGTCGTTGTAGCGATAGCCTAGAAATACAGCTGTGTCCTACCAAATCCACTTGCAGGTTCGCGCTGGAACGGCCGGAAAATAATGTTTGCAGCCTTTCTAACCTCGCGCCCACGCCGTACGCGCCACTGTCGCTGTTTGACTCTGCGAGGTTTCCGACCCCCGACCGTGTCGTGAGCGTTCGAAGCAGACACGACGAGCGAGTCTGTCGGGAGGACGCTTGTACAAGAAACGCATCGTTCACAATAAAGTTCTGCGTACGGTTTTTTTCCCCCCTCCCCGAGGCTGCCGAGCGCTTTCCGTCGTGGGATCGATCCTCGTGGCCGTGCGGGGAGACGCCGCTGAGCTGGCGTCGCCGAGATCCCGAGTTCCGAGTCGAGGCGTCCCGCAGTCTCTTGTGCATTAGCCGGGTTCTTAATGGAGGTGTCGTGATCTCGGCCCAGTCGTCGATGATGACGCACAAAATGTGTAAAACATTTCGGTTCGGGTTGTTCTCGGAGCACACAGATAAGTTTGGCATTGCCCGAAATGTCGCTTATTGTATACTGTACGTGCAGTATATACATATATCACGCGATATTTTTGGATCGCATGTCAGAAGCGTTGCTTTCATGCAAGAGAACTGGATCGGCTTCGACATTTATCGTCTGACCAGCGAATCGTCGGGGCTGGCGAGAACCAATGCCGGCAGAACCGCCCGATGCTTCCAGAGGCGTGGAGCCTCGCGTCGATGCGTGCCAGTGATCCGCACGACGAGATAACGCAACGCGTGCGATTGTAACGCGCTCCCAATGTTTATTTTTTTTTCATCTTAATTTCTCCGCAGCGGCGCGCGAAGATTATTGTCGAACAGAAGAGGGGCAACGTTTCGAGCGATGGCCCTTTTGTCGAGGCGGGGAATGCGGCGGGGGGGGGGGGGGTCCATACATTTTTTCACTTTTCCCCACGCAGGTCACAACTGATAACATCTTTTCTGCCTGGAGGGGGGGGGGGAAAGATTCAATTATTACGTTTGGCGGTGGTGGTAGCTTTCGCGTGTTGAGATTGGCCTTGGCGTGTAGCAATGCCCTGGGCACCTTCACGAAGCTTCATCTGCCCGCATGAATGATTTATGTGCAGGGCCAGTGTCGTTTTAATTTCACATTCATAGAACTCCCGGCGTGGAATGGGGTGACCCTGGGGTTGTTTGTAGAAGGAAGAGAGCGGGGGTGGTGGGGGCTGGGGTGCACGTGCTTTAGAGACGAGACTACAAAGGCCGTGGCTCGGATATCAACATTTCAAAACCACCACTCCGTTGCTCATGTAGGCCTGCGTTTCCACCCCCCTCGGCTCACGTGTTTGGCTTTCATATGTGCTCGCTGACGGCACTTGCCCCAACAGCCTGTTGAGGCTATACGGGGGATCTTTGTCTTTGCGTCGAGTGTGTGTGAGGCTCACGAACAGCACCTTTCCCGAACAGCCTGTGTGGTTTGTGTGTGTGGGGGGGTGGGTAGAAGCGTAGTGGATAGCACGCTGCTTCAACGAACCCGGTGACCCGAGTTCGATTCCCGCTCACGGCCTACACCAGTGAGCCCCCTTTAGGTCAACTCGGCCTCAAATGAGTAGGTGGTGCAATGTGTAAACATCGCAACAGGGGAGGCGAAAGCGGCCAAGCTTGGGTTCTGGCCACCCACCCCCCGCCCCGAATGTGTGGCGTGCCAATCTTCGTCGATGCTCCCTAACGGCACTTGGCCCAACTGGCTGTTGAAGGCTATACGGGGATCTTTTGTTGCGAGTGCGTGTGCTTGTGTAGTTTTGATTGTGTCTTTGTATTTCGAAGTTTGTGTCAGTCTGTATATGTGAATGTGTCTCTGTGTTCTTCGTCTTCTGTGCATGTGGGTATATTTTTTTAAAACGAATTCAAATAAGGATTCCATCCTGGGCATTTTTATTATATGTATAAAGAACTGAATTCTCCACGCGAGCCGTGTTTTAATCAGCGGCACGCGATACGGAATGCTAATGTCGCCGTACGCTGCGTGTGCATGCAAACCACGCTTCACGTACCCTGAATTCTCCATACAGAGCACGAGTCATTCAATTCCTACACCCTCCCTACACCCTCCAGCTCTACACCCTCCCTACACCCTCCCTACACCTTCCAGCTCTACACCCTCCCTACACCCTTCCTACACCCTCCCTACACCCTCCCTCCCTACACCATCCAGCCCTACACCCTCCAGTCCTACACCCTCACTCCCTACACCCTCCAGTCCTACACCCTCCCTACACCCTCCCTACACCCTCCCTACACCCTCCCTACACCCTCCAGCTCGACACCCTCAACCCACCTTGGCTACATTTCGGGTCTTGAGAATTAAAATATCGGTTTGACCGTCACGTGATGAACCGTACCCTCATTCAGAGCGAGTGGCGAAGTGCTGCCCTCTGCCGTGCGCGTGTGTGTGGAGCAGAGTGTCACGTTGAAGAAGGGCTCTCAGCTAGTTCCCGCTCTGTGATGTCCACTTCCGCGGCCACACTCTGCCCGACACTTGATAGCGCAATCGGGATAACGTGGAGGAGAGTGACGCGAAAAAAACACGACAAAAACATTTGCAAAAATAATTGTGACATTTTAATACCACGTAAGTTGGCAATTCTTAAACAAAAAAACAAACCAAAGCATTGACTTTTTAAACGAACATTCACCCTTTGTAACTCTTTAACTCGCCCTGCGCGCGTGCCCGTCACGAGTGACACCCGAGTCGACAGACAACCCGAGGTGCTGTCTCGAGCCTTAGCGCGCGCACGTTTGAGCCCCCCCAGTTGCGGGGATGCGGGCACAGCCACCCGGAACTCGACGCTCGCCGATCCGCAATCGAGGCCGCCCGTTCGTCGCTCCGTTCCAAACATCTGTAGTCCGCAAAACATTTCGCGTCTCGCATCTTCCGCTCGCGGCGTTGGGCGTTCGATGCAAGGCGGCGAATGTCAAATGTGAAAGGCGGTACAGCAGGTAGGTGGGTCGGCCTGCCCGTGCCCAATCCGAGCGTGCTCCTTGCGAAGCTCTTCACCCACCTTCGTCCACGGAAGGCCGATTGATTTATTTCAGGATCGTTTACACGCGGCCTACCCTTCGGTCAGCTCGGCACGAAACTCGGGAGGCGCGCACAAGGGGCGCCTTGTGCTGAGCGGCCCGGATGAATGCGTGCGGATAAACAAGGGGGGCGATTGTGCGAGCGCCGTGCGTGTCCGTGGGCGCGCGCGGGTTCTACGTACGGTGAGCGTCCGGCGCAGCGGTCGCCGCACGCTGCGCTACGAACCCGACGGACCCCAGTTCGAATCCCGCTGCGTGACCAACATCGGTGATGAACATCTAAACTGGCGGGCCTATGCGCTAGCCGCACCACCCCCCCTCCCTGCCCCCCCCCCCCCCCCTGCCTTGTGAGCCTTATTTAATAGGTGCTCGCAAACAGCACTTGCCCCAGGAGTCGTCTACGCGTGGCACCTTTGTCGAGGCGTGCGTCTGTCCTGGTGTGCTCGAAGAGGCGCGAGGTGGAGACCTGCGGCTGCCCCAACGGAACGAACGAAACGGATGGCGTTGCGGCGGCAATGCCGGCCGGCCGGCCGAGTGGACCGCCGAGCGCCCCACGCTACACGAAGCTCGCGTCCGTCCCCTCTCCCGGCCACCGCCAGCGGTCCCCGAATCTCGGGGCCCTGCCTCCTCCGTGCTCCCCTCGACTGCCCTCGCCGTGCAGCTCCGCCGACCCGACCACCACGCGGACGCCTCCCTCGTCCCCTCCGTGGCCCCCGTGTCTCTCGTGCGCCCCCGGCGCTCCGGGGACTACGGGGAGCCGCGGCAGGGGGGCACTGCTCCCTCGTCCCATCGTCTCCTCTCCCCCGGCCTCCTCGTCCTCCTCTTCGGCGCTGCTCGCCTCCGCGGGAGTCTCGCAAATCCTCAGCCTCGGCAGAGGGCCGCGGAATCGCAAGGTGGAGTCGTCGGAATCGGAGCTCCCGGCGGAGCCGAGCGTCAACCCCCGATCGCCCGGCCGCTCGCCGCCACCGTCACCGCCAACATCGTCCTGCGCCACCTCGTCGTGCTGCGAGTCCACCGTCGCCTTGGGTTGAGTCTCCCGCGAGTGCGGGGGGCTGTTGGGCAGGTGGAGGCATCTGGGTCTGTCCCTGCAGCGATGGAGGAGGAGGCGGTGGCGATGATGAGGAGGAGTCGGTGGTCGAGGAGGTGGTGTCATGAGTTCAGGAGGCTCGGCCGAATCATGTGGGGTCGAGGCGCAAGGCTCGCCCACGCTGGTGCTGCTGCTGCTGCTGATGATGCTGTTCCTGCTGGTGCTGCTCTTGCTGCTGCTGCTGGAGGAGGAGGAGGAGGAAGCGCACTCGTGGTTGAGGTGGAGCCTCAGGGAGCGAACCTCGGCAAGGAGCTGCGTGAAACGATGGAACAGGTCCACGTCCATCGCTCGCACGGTCGCCTGAGACACGGGGGACGGGGGGGGGACATGGGGACACGGGGGACAGGGCACCAGTAGAGTGGAGCATCACCGGTTGTGGTGGTGCCATTTGTCACAAAAGCTACGAACCTGGCCACCTGAGTTCGATTCTCGTCTAGACCGGTCTCATGCCTCACCTAGGTGGACTCGGCTGTAAACATCATCGCTGGGCACGCAATGCCGACCTCCATAGCTGCTCGCAAACAGCACTCACTCGCCCCTAACCGCCTGGTAGAGCCGTGCGGGTGGCCTTTATCTTTGCCATGTACCGACCCCCGACAGGTGCTCGCTAACACAGGCCGTGTGGACAACAAATTGACTCGATTGATTTCGCATGCATGTATCTATGCACGTGACGCCCTGATGAATGTACGAGTTATACGCCCTGTGCACGCATCGCGAAAAAGGTCGCGGCTTACATTACCGCGAGCGATGCTTTTGCACTCGCGCGTTTACCCTCCCCCCCCTCTTACCCTCGCCTGCCCCTCGTTTGTCTACGCGCCCATTCTCGATCCACTGCTAGGCGACGGCTCCTCCGCGCGGTATCGACGATCGGGAAACTGCTTCGACCAAACGTTCAGCCTCGGCAGGGCCCGACTCGGCGTGTCCGGCTCCCTGGCCCCGCGCAACCCGGAGGAGATCGGAATCATCGGAATCTTTTGTTCCTGCTGGAGGAATCCGATGAGCTATGGAGTTCCTTGTAACAGGGGATGCCCCGGCGGTTTTCGCAGACGTCCAGGAGATGTCTCGCCTGTCGGTGGTCACATCCCCCAGAGGTGGCAAAGTTAAGCGGGGTCCGTCCGGCTCTTCCCCCAACGTGCACAGCCAATGGCAGTGAATTTAGTCCGTCTAACACCGAGTGGTGGTGGTGGTGGTAGTCGGCTTTCACGGCCAATATTATCCTTAGTAGAGGGGTTTTTTTGGGGGGGGAAGGGGGGCGGGGGAGGTTGGATCACGTAAATTGAAATGTGTCGTTAAACCCGCCACCACCCCGACACGGCCAATTAGTAACTGTTTAATCTTGATTTGAAGCTTTCGTGACTGCAGGAATCCATACTCTTTGGTTCTTTCGGTAAGGTCACGTAGGTAGAAAATAAATTAAATCACGACGTTTCGATCGTCATCAGGTGGAACAGACAGCAGGAGAACTGCTGACTAAACAAGAGCTGCTGCAACAAGAGTTTATATCGGAGTTTGGTGGGCTCAACCCAAGGGTAAAGTGTGCGGAGCTCGACAAGGAATTTGTACGTAAATGTGAGAGATTAGAGCCCACCAAAATCCCGATATAAACTCTTGTTGCAGCAGCTTTCTCCTTTTGTCAGCAGTTCTCCTGCTGTGTATGTCCCACCTGATGACGGCCGCTTGTGTTGCGATCGAAACGTCGTGATTTATTTTATTTTACACCGACGTGACTTTACCGAAAGAACCAAAGAGGTTCTCACTATGAGACGCCTTTTGGCGTCATCTGGTCCAACACCAGTGGAGACTAGGCTCTAAGAAAAGCCGTCTCGGGTGTGGACCAATCCATTTCAAGGACAGTGCATATCATTATCAGAGTCGTCTCTTTTTGTTTGCATTTTGACTGCTTGTGTTGTGGTTATTGCAAATATGAGCCCTTGTATAAAGGTGTCAGTTTTGGTGCCAGATAAAAGGGTAAAAACCTATTACTACTACAACAAAGAGGTTCTGTCACGTAAACAGTTTACGGGCGGTGGCAGGGCTTTAACGACACATTTACGCGATCTCACCACCCCCCAAAAAAACATCTATTGGTGGATATAACAAGAAGAGACCTTTTCGAATTTCGTCCAAAAAAGAAACCTCAATATTTCAAGAAGCCGCAGTGCACTGTGTGGTGGATACCAGACGGCGCTCCTTAATGTAACAGCAGCTGTCACGAAGCAGCGGCTCTTTAAAGAGCCACCACGTGCGGCTCGGAACCGCAGGTTGCTGACCTCTCCGCTCTAGCGGAAGTGCATCGCACAGCCGGGCAGCCACACGGCTCGCTCAGCCATCGTCACCTCGGCACTCAATGAATACATTGATGATGATGAGTGGATGACAACGATGATCGTGGTGACGACGGTTGATTTATGTTGTGTGTGTGTCTATGTTTACCTTCTTTGGCAAGCTAAGTAGCCAACCACGTTAATGGGAGGTGCGGGAGACAGACAACAAACTAAACACACACAAAAAAAAACAGTAAAAAAAATGAGTTTGTCAATCTGGACGATTTTAAAGAGCACAGGAAGGGAGGAGCGTTCCAGACGGTCGCAGTAGCGCATCTGAAAGCGCGCGATGTGGGCGAGCATCATTGTTCGGTGATCAGACAGAAGCCGCTGCCGCTGCGAGGACTGACCGCAGGTTCGCGTGATGATGATGCTGCTGCTGATTGATACTCCTTTGACGAGATCAGAAAGGTGGTCAGATCACTTTGTGTGCAACGAGTGCGACCTTATAATGTAGATTACAATGACGACATCGATGTTTCATGATAACGACGATGATGATCATGATGATGATGATGATCATGATGATTATGATAATGATGACCGTCATCAGCGTATCTCACCATCTCCGTCCGAAGCCGCTCAATCCTGTCTCTCTGTCTCGGCGATGGGGGGTCCCACTGACCCCACCGAGGGGGTCTCGCTCCCCCGGGACCCACACTCATTCCCGCGGACACGTTGACCCCAACAGCGGCCCGCTCCCCCATCCACGGGAATCTGCTCATCGCAGCGTCAGGGTCCGAGTGTTCACTGTTGAGAGTATGTGTGCGCGCGCGTGCGTGCGTGTGTGTGTGTCAGCGTGTTGTGTGTGTGTGTTGTCTGCGCGTTGTTTGTGTATTGTTTGTGTGTTGTTTGCGTGGCGTTAGCGTGTTGGTTTGTGTGTCGTTTGCGTGGTGTCTGCGTGCGAGTGTGTTTTGTGCGCGCGTGTGTCAGTCTGCGTTGTCTGCGCGTTGTTCGTATGTGGTTCGTATGTTGTTCGTATGTTGTTCGCGTGGTGCGTGCCAGCGTTACCGAGGGGACTCGAAACTTCACGTCGCCCGTTAGCCTCGCGTCGTCAGCACCGTGGCTCGCGACTGCGAGGCGACCGGACGACGACAAGGAGGAGGAGGCAGCAGGGGGGAGGGGAAGCAGTGAAGAAGTTGCCCATTGTGGGCGAGACACGGGGGCGCAGCGGGGGGGGTGGGGGAGGGGAGCGGGGAATACACAACAGTGTGGCTCCATGAGTCACTCTGGCCTGGCGCTGTGAGTCACCCTGGTCTGGCTCTCTGAGTCACTCTGGCCTGGCTCCATGAGTCACTCTGGCCTGGCGCTGTGAGTCACCCTGGTCTGGCTCTCTGAGTCACCCAGGTCTGGCTCTCTGAGTCACCCTGGTGTGGCTCTATGGGTTACCCTGGTCTGGCTCTGTGAGTCACCCAGGTCTGCCTCTCTGAGTTGCCCAGGTCTGGCTCTCTGAGTCACCCTGGTCTGGCTCTGTGAGTCACCCTGGTTTGACTGTCTGAGTCACCCTGGTCTAGCTCTGTGAGTCACCCTGGTCTGGCTCTCTGAGTCACCCCGGTCTGGTTCTATGAGTCATTCTAGTTTGGCTCTCTGAGTCACCCTGGTGTGGCTCTATAAGTTACCCTGATCTGGCTCTCTGAGTCACCCAGGTCTGGCTCTGTGAGTCACCCTGATCTGGCTCTGTGAGTCACCCTGATCTGGCTCTGTGAGTCACCCAGGTCTGGCTCTGTGAGTCACCCTGATCTGGCTCTGTGAGTAACCCTGATCTGGCTCTCTGAGTCACCCTGGTCTGGCTCTCTGAGTCACCCTGCTCTGGCTCTATGAGTCACCCAGCTCTGGCTCTATGAGTCACCCTGTTCTGGCTCTGTGAGTCACCCTGATCTGGCTCTGTGAGTCACCCAGCTCTGGCTCTATGAGTCATCCTGATCTGGCTCTGTGAGTCACTGATCTGGCTCTGAGTCACCCTGGTCTGGCTCTGTGAGTCACCCTGGTCTGGCTCTGTGAGTCACCCAGGTCTGGCTCTGTGAGTCACCCTGGTCTGGCTCTGTGAGTCACCCTGATCTGGCTCTCTGATTCACCCTGCTCTGGCTCTATGAGTCATTCTGATCTGGCTCTGTGAGTCACCCTGATCTGGCTCTGTGAGTCACCCTGATCTGGCTCTGTGAGTCACCCAGCTCTGGCTCTATGAGTCATCCTGATCTGGCTCTGTGAGTCACCCTGATCTGGCTCTATGAGTCACCCTGCTCTGGCTCTATGAGTCACCCTGCTCTGGCTCTATGAGTCACCCTGGTCTGGCTCTGTGAGTCACCCTGGTCTGGTTCTATGAGTCACCCTGCTCTGGCTCTATGAGTCACCCTGCTCTGGCTCTATGAGTCACCCTGCTCTGGCTCTATGAGTCATCCTGATCTGGCTCTGTGAGTCACCCTGATCTGGTTCTATGAGTCACCCTGCTCTGGCTCTATGAGTCACCCTGCTCTGGCTCTATGAGTCACCCTGGTCTGGCTCTGTGAGTCACCCTGGTCTGGCTCTGTGAGTTACCCAGGTCTGGCTCTGTGAGTCACCCTGGTCTGGCTCTGTGAGTCACCCTGATCTGGCTCTCTGAGTCACCCTGCTCTGGCTCTATGAGTCATCCTGATCTGGCTCTGTGAGTCACCCTGATCTGGCTCTGTGAGTCACCCAGCTCTGGCTCTATGAGTCACCCTGGTCTGGCTCTATGAGTCACCCTGATCTGGCTCTATGAGTCACCCAGTTCTGGCTCTGTGAGTCACCCTGCTCTGGCTCTATGAGTCACCCTGATCTGGCTCTGTGAGTCACCCTGATCTGGCTCTGTGAGTCACCCAGCTCTGGCTCTATGAGCCATCCTGATCTGGCTCTGTGAGTCACCCCTGTCTGGCTCTATGAGTCCCCAGGTCTGGCTCTGTGAGTCACCCTGATCTGGCTCTGTGAGTCACCCTGCTCTGGCTCTATGAGTCACCCTGGTCTGGCTCTGTGAGTCACCCAGGTCTGGCTCTATGAGTCACCCAGGTCTGGCTCTGTGAGTCACCCAGCTCTGGCTCTGTGAGTCACCCAGCTCTAGCTCTGTGAGTCACCCTGATCTGGCTCTGTGAGTCACCCTGCTCTGGCTCTATGAGTCACCCTGGTCTGGCTCTATGAGTCACCCTGATCTGGCTCTGTGAGTCACCCTGGTCTGGCTCTCTGAGTCACCCTGGTCTGGCTCTATGAGTCACCCTGATCTGGCTCTCTGAGTCACCCTGATCTGGCTCTGTGAGTCACCCTGGTCTGGCTCTCTGAGTTACCCTGGTCTGGCTCTGTGAGCCACCCAGGTCTGGCTCTGTGAGTCACCCTGATCTGGCTCTGTGAGTCACCCTGGTCTGGCTCTATGAGTCATCCTGATCTGGCTCTATGAGTCACCCTGATCTGGCTCTGTGAGTCACCATGATCTGGCTCTCTGAGTCACCTTGATCTGGCTCTATGAGTCACCCTGGTCTGGCTCTGTGAGTCACCCTGGTCTGGCTCTATGAGTCACCCAGCTCTGCCTCTCTGAGTCACCCTGCTCTGGCTCTATGAGTCACCCTGGTCTGGCTCTGTGAGTCACCCAGGTCTGGCTCTGTGAGTCACCCTGGTCTGGCTCTGTGAGTCACCCTGGTCTGGCTTTCTGAGTCACCCTGATCTGGCTCTGTGAGTCACCCTGCTCTAGCTCTGTGAGTCACCCTGATCTGGCTCTGTGAGTCACCCAGGTCTGGCTCTGTGAGTCACCCAGCTCTGGCTCTCTGAGTCACCCAGCTCTGGCTCTCTGAGTCACCCTGCTCTGGCTCTATGAGTCACCCTAATCTGGCTCTCTGAGTCACCCTGATCTGGCTCTCTGAGTCACCCTGATCTGGCTCTCTGAGTCACCCAGGTCTGGTTCTGTTAGTCACCCTGCTCTGGCTCTATGAGTCACCCTGCTCTGGCTCTCTGAGAGATCAACACACCACTCACCGCGTGGACTCACGCACCGTGCAGGTTGTTTGTTGTTGCTGTTTAATCCGCGCACGGCGTTCAACAAAGCCGCGAACGGCGCGACGGAGACGCGGACACCGCCGGGAGACGTCACCGACGATCACGTGGCGATGCTGATGATGATGACGACAGGGATAATGATGATGATGTGGCGATGCTGATGATGATGACGACAGGAATAATGATGATGATGTGGCGATGCTGATGATGATGACGACAGGGATAATGATGATGATAACAGGGATAATGATGATGATCATGTAATGATGTTGATGATGACAGGGATAATGACGATGATGATGTAGTGATGCTGATGATGATGATGTATTGATGATGATGATAATGATGACGACAAGGATAATGATGATGATGATGGCAGGGATAATGATGATGTAGTGATGCTGATGATGACAGGGATAATGACGATGATGATGTAGTGATGCTGATGATGATGATGTATTGATGATGATGATGACGACAGGGGTAATGATGATGATGATGTGGCGATGATGATGATGGCAGGGATAATGATGATGTAGTGATGCTGATGATGGTGACAGGGATAATGACGATGATGATGTAGTGATGCTGATGATGATGTAGTGATGATGCTGATGACGACAGGGATGATGATGATGATGTAGTGATGCTGATGATGACAGGGATAATAATGATGATGATGTGGCGATGCTGATTAGGGTGATGATGAGAATGTACGAAATTGATGATACGCGACAAAAAAATCGATTTCCAAATCGAACGATTCTAATCGCAGTTACCAGATAAGAGATTGGTTGATCATTATTGGGATCCTATGTAAATGGGTAAACGGGGGAGCGGTGGCGCAGTGGTTAGCGTGCCGGCCACCTAGTACTGACCAGCGTGGTGAAGTAAACTCAAACCTCCCCCCGATTGACGACATAGCGTCGGGGTGAGCCTTCATCCAGCAGTGGATTTGCGCACGTGTGGAACATATGAACAGTATTTGTAAACGCGTTACCCTATGGGGCATTCCGTTATCCACTGAAGCCAATGGGCATTGACAATTAGTCCGACCGATGTCACAACAACAACAACACGTCCATCCACTTTGCGTCACTGCTCAAACAAGTGGCGTTCTCCCCGTGCCTCTGTTGGCCGCCCATCTTAGCGGTGGAAATTCCCCATTCCCGCGGCGGTTACCAGTCCATCGGGAGTGTAACCACTGCAGAGCATGCTCCGCGACGAGCGGTTCGCGTGTTATCGACCCTAGAGAGTCGACGGCGATTCGCTTGAGTTGCCAGGCGGTGGTGTGGGGTTGAACGACGCGTTTATTGACGCGAAAGCCCTCTGTGTGCTAAACTCGAGCGCGATGTTCACGTGGCGAGGCGTTCATTCTCCTGCTCATAAGTCCTGAGCCAGTCGACGTTACTATGCCGGAAGCAGTCCATCCATAGCATAGGTCTAATATTTTCCCGTGTTTTGGGGGGTAGCCGCGTGCAGCAGGTTACCTGCTCAGATGGTACGGGCTCGGGTTGCGTGGTGGCCACGCAACTAGTGGACTCTTGACTCCATCTGTGCGGGGTTATTGAATGTCACCCTGTTCGGCGTCGTCACCGCCTGCGCGCTCATTCAACATCCTTTGTGGCCAAATCATCTGAATGTGGCGGTAAAACCCTTCCTGAACGGGCTCGACCGTGAAACCCATCACCGCGACCCACCAACATTAGCGCCACAATGCCCCCCCCCCCTCCCCCCAATGTCACCATCGTCGTCTTCGTTCGCCCACATCACCCGTCGCCATCCCCAACATCATCACCATGATCGCTGCAAGTGTCACCGTCACCACCGTGACGCCACCGACCATCTTGCGATTCGTGGGGAGGGGGAGCGCTTTCCTGGGTAAATAAGGGACGTGGTTACTGTTGCTGCTGCTGTTGTTGTTGTGTTGCTGTTGTTGTTGTGCTGCGAGTCCGAGTCTATATCTCACTGGTGTCACGCGTTGACGCCGGGACTGGTCACGTGGGTAGATGCCGCGACCCGTGAGGGCCCGCGCCGTCCGGGCTCCCTGCTCCAGATTCCAGCCCTGACCTCGACCTCGACCGTCCGCGACCTCCCCTGTGGCCGTTGGCGAGCGCCTGCGGAGACTCTGGGTCCGGCTCGGGGTCCGGCTCGGGGTCCGGCTCGGGATCTGGCTCGGGGTCTGGCTCGGCGAGCCGCTCCTCCAGGAGGACAGACACCAGACACGCCGAGTCCATCCGGCTCGCTCTGTGCGGCGCTGACGCCGAACAGAACCGTGGCCGGTTTGACTCGGAGTCCCTGGCGTGCTTCCTGCGGCTGGGTCCGAACAGCCAGGCTAGGTGGGGGGGGGGGGGGGGAGAGGTTGGGGGAGGTGGGGGGGGGTAGGTGAGGGGGGGGGTGCAGAGAACGTGAGTCGAGGCGGGGCGGCTCCTCGACTGTTGCACCGCCTGCGATGTTTTTGGTTCAAATAAACTGAGCTCGAGAGGAGCGAGCAGCGACAAAATGTCAACGAGTTCGAGCGTTGTCCAGGGTTGACGCTCGTCCGTAACACGCGCGCGATGACTCTCGCACACACGCACGCGCGCGCACGCGCACGCGCGCGCATACACAAAGTACCAAAGATCCCCCGTATGGCCTTTAACGGTCTGTTGGGGCGAGTGCTGTAAAGGCAAAAACATGTGAAGGCCGACACGGCACACGATCGGGGTGGGTGGATAGCACCACGCCCGCTCGCCTTTGTGTTCCTCGTGGCGATGTTTTACATATCGCTGCAGATACGAATTTGAGGCTGAGTCGACCTAGGGAAGGTCCGGGATCGGTTCAGATAATCGTCACCGGTGTTGGTGGTCGTGAGCGGGAATCGAACTCGGGTTCGCTGGCTTCGTAGCGCAGCGCGCTAACCACTACGTGACCCCTCCGACAACAACCGCCGTTCTCAACTAAGGTGCACTTTGCGGACACGTGAAGTTTCGAAGGGTCGCTGGCAGGAGGTCACGGGGCAAACCTAGGTGCTGTGGATTGACTGCCTGAGATGACTGGCAGATCCACCGCCCGTACTCCCCCCACTGTGGTACCTCGCTACATTTTAGTCGCCCCGGGCTCCGCTCTTTTGATTGTGAGCGTCGCTCTTCTGTCCTGCGACTGCCTCCAACTGGCCAGTAGCTACACGGTGCGCCTGGTCTGGCACTGCTCAGTAGCGTCGTTCACAGAGGCTGCCCGGTACCGGCAAAGTCAACTCAGCTCCCCATTCTCCCGTGCCATATCAGTCCGCCTCCTCTCCGAGCACCTCCATCTGGCCAAACAGAATCTGCTTGAGCAAGCGCTGCCTGGTCGAGCGGGCTACGTGACCCAGCCAGCGTGGCCTCCTCGCACTCACTGGGGGACATCATTCAAGGGTCTGTGAGCTCATCACAGAATCCAGTCCGGTTCAACCCAAGATGGATCGTAAGCAGGCCAGCCTGGATGCTTCAAACCGGCGCAGATATCGATTTAAAGGGAGCGCACACATATTACGACTATAATGAGCCAATAATGTTTGTGTGTAACGCACGTGACGTCACTCCACATAGACTGTCAGTACACTCACCGAGGTTAAGAACCAGGCTACAGTCTACATTATAGACTGCCAGTACTCTCACTCCGATGAAGAACCAGGCTACAGTCTACATTAGTGTTTTTGTTGTTGTTTATTATAGTTATTTTATTTGTATTATTTTTATTCACTTCATTTTTATTTTTCTATCTACGTGACTTTACCGAAAGAACCAGAGAATATGAATTCTTGCAGCCACGAAAGTTTTAAGTAAAAAATTCTTCAGCACTTGAGACAAAAGGTAAGTCTAATTTATGCTTCTACATTATGGTAAAATAGACATTGATTTTCCAGATATTGTATCGATTTACAATTTATTTAAATTCCAGCCACCGAAATAAAGTATCAGAGCAGTGAATTTGAACAATTTGAAGGTCAGTTTATATACAGTGCTACAGTGAAATGCAGTGAAGTATTTGATGACATTCTTTTGTGCAAGATTCACCGCTATTAAATTTACACACGATACAATTATACAATATTATACAAAGACAATGATCACTTTAAGGGTGGCACGCACGGTGGTTGTGGGTGACCAACACCACGCCCGCCGTCTTTGTCTTCCCAATGTTGTTCACACACCGCGTCAGGTATTCATTTAGGGCTGAGTCGACCTAGGGGAAGCATGTGACTGGCTCAAATATTCGCCACTGTCATTTTACCTTTGAGTGAAAGTCGAGCTCGGCTCGCCGGGTTTCCGTAAATCAGTGCACAAACCACTGCACCACCGCTCCCCGTAGTCATAAAAATCAAAGATCCCCCGTGTAGCCTTAACAGACTGTTGGTGCAAGTGCTGTTAGCGAGCAGCACCTATGAAGGCCGGCACGGCGCACGAGGGGGTGGGTGGCCAGCACCACGCCCGGCCAACTTTGTCTCCCCAGTGGCGATGTTTTTACGCACCGCACCAGGTACACATTTGAGGCTGAGTCGACCTAGGAGAGGCCCGGAACAGGTTCAGATAATTGTCACTGGTGTCGGCCGTGAGCGGGAATCGAACCCGGGTCGCCACACTACACACACGAAATCTTTCATTTAAAAAGGGGGGGGGGGGGGTTACATAAAGCAATGCATAAAAAACTAAATGATGAACGAAGCAAAGTGCCGACTACACCGAGCATCTTCTTGTTTCCTCTGATCGTAAAAAGAGAGAGACACGCGCGCGTAATACCACGTTTACAAACTTCACCTTTTGATAGCCAGTCTCGAGCCTCGGACGACGCGTAGAGAATCCCAGCTGTGTTTCTAGGGGAATGGCTAAGCGGGGGTGGAGGGGGGGGGCATGGCTCATCACTCCGACGCGGTGCATCACCGGAGGCCACTCACCCACGAGATCGTGAGCGATGTCCCGTAGGAGGTGGCCCACGATCAGGTAGGCCACCCCGACCACCACCAGCGCAGCCATGAGCAGGTAGAGCACGGCCTGGGGCAGCGGCGTGGTGGTGGTGGTGCCGCCGGAGAGGGAGCCGTGGCCGGGAGGGTACAGGGAGGCCACACCAGCGGCCACGATGTCACCCTCACCGCCACCACCAACCTCACCACCACCGCCACCACCAACCTCACTAGCACCGCTACCAGGAGCCCCCGCTGGTGCGGAGGAGTTCATAGCGTGCGCGACTCAGAGCGACTGCAGCAGCTGGGTTGCTAACGACATGACTCCGACCACGCCAACACCTCCACCACCACTGCAGCGCAGCCGCTGACAATGCCACTAACACCAGCAGCAGGAGCAGCACCACCGCGGTGATTGTTGTGGTTGTTGTTGTGGTTGTTGTTGTTGTTGTTGCGGCTGGAAGCCGCTCGCCTCGCTGTCCGTTTCAGCACCGCGCCGAGCGCGCGGCGCGGATTCTCGCCAGGCCCTCGCATCGTCGACCACGGCGCCACGGGCAACCACCCGCGCCTTGGCTTCTTGTCCGTGTGTTGTTGTTGTTGTTGTTTGTTTGTTGTTGTTATTGTTGTTGGGATGCCATCTGGAGGAGCCTCTGATTCGCTGTTCGCTGGGCGCGTTAATGCCGAGCGCTCGCGTCTCCTCGCCCCCCCCCCCCAGCTCTCTCCCCCGGGCCACTGCCCCCCCCTCTCCCTCTTCAGTGATTGATGCTCAAAGTGGCTAATTTGGGGGGGGGGGCTCAGCCCCGCCCCTCGACTTTCCCGGAGATTTGTTCAGCGCGATGGAGATTCCTGACCTTGACCGCTCCGAAATCCCAATCCGTCTCTTGGCCCGGACTCTTAAGCTGGATCAGCGAGGATTGCCCAACCCGCCTTTGTCTCTCTCCCTCTCTCTCTCTCTGTCTCGATATGCTGTACCTCTGTATGTCTCTGTCCATCACTGTATGTATATACACAACTATGTATTCCTCCCTGCATGTCTCACCCGCGTGCCTGTGTCCCTGTGCGTGTCTCTAACTCTTTGTGCGTCTTTGTGCGTGTCTGTGTGCATCTGTGTGTCTCTATCTCTATGTGTGTCTGTGTGTCTCGATGCGTCTCTTCTCGGTGCATCTGTCTCTATGTAGTATATCTATGTGTGTCCGTGTGTCTCTCTGTATCCAGGTGTTCCACTGTGACTCCTCGCTTATGTGTGTGTTTATCTGTTTGTCCCTACATGTGTCTGTGTGTGTGTCACTGTGTGTGTCATCGTGTCTCACTGTGTCTCTATGTATGTGCCTTTATGTGTCGCTCTGTGTGTGTCTCGCTGTGTGTGTCTCTGTGTGTGTATCACTGTGTGTGTGTCACTCTCTGTGTGTCTGCGTGTGTGTCTAACTGTGCGTCTCTATACGTTTGTATCCACGTGTATATCTGTGTCTCTCTCTGTGTCTGCGTGCGTGCCTCACCATGTGTCTCTCTGTGTGTCTCTCTGCGCGTGTATCACTGTGTGTGTGCCACTCACTGTGTGTGTTTCTCTCTGTCTCTCTGCGCGTGTATCACTGTGTGTGTTACTGTGTGTCTCTCTCTGTTTGTCTCTCTGCGCGTGTATCACTGTGTGTGTGCGACTCTGTGTGTCTCTCTCTGTCTCTCTGTGTATGTCTCTCTGCGCGTGTATCTATTTGTGTGTCTCTGCGCGTGTATCACTGTGTCTCTCTCTGTGTGTCTCTGCGCGTGTATCACTGTGTGTGTCTCTCTCTGTGTGTCTCTCTGCGCGTGTATCACTGTGTGTGTCTCTCTGCGCGTGTATTACTGTGTGTGTTTCTTTGCGCGTGTATCACTGTGTGTCTCTCTCTGTGTGTCTCTCTGCGCGTGTATCACTGTGTGTGTCTCTCTGCGCGTGTATTACTGTGTGTTTCTTTGCGCGTGTATCACTGTGTGTGTATCTCTCTGTGTGTCTGTTTGCGCGTGTATCACTGTGTGTGTCTCTCTGCGCGTGTATCAATGTGTGTGTTTCTCTGCGCGTGTATCACTGTGTGTGTTTCTTTGCGCGTGTATCACTGTGTGTGTATCTCTCTGTGTGTCTGTTTGCACGTGTATCACTGTGTGTGTCTCTCTGCGCGTGTATCAATGTGTGTGTTTCTCTGCGCGTGTATCACTGTGTGTGTTTCTCTGCGCGTGTATCACTGTGTGTGTCTCTCTGCGCGTGTATCACTGTGTGTGTTTCTCTGCGCGTGTATCACTGTGTGTGTCTCTCTCTCTGTTTGTCTCTCTGCGCGTGTCTGCCTGTCTCGCTGTGTCGAGCCGTCAGCGACTCGCTCCGCACGCCGCGCGCCTCCGCCGCGCTCCTCAGAATCCACCCCCCCCCCCAGCCCCCCACCCGCGCGTCCTTCTTCCTCACGGCGTCCCTGCGCCGTGAGGATGATGGAGACGACGCGAGAGGGGGGAGTCGTGTGAAGAGGAGCCCACAGCGAGCGGTTCCCCCCGGGCACGTGGGTTGATTCACCCCTCTGTATCCAACAACACGCGGGGCGCGGATCTGCACCTGACCCCCCATCTCACGCCATTCCTCCCGCAGGCTTCGGAATCGACGAGCAGGCGGCGGTTCTTGTCCATCGCTGATGCGTCTCTACACCCCCTCATCCTCCCTCTCTCCCTCTCCCGATCTCTCTCCCTCTCTTCCTCTCCCGATGTCTCTCCACTCTCTGATATCTCTCCCGATCTCTCTCTCTCTCCGTTTTCTCTCTCTCTCTCTTATCTCTCTCCCTCTCTTATCTGTTTCCCTCTCTCTCCTCTCTCTCTCTCTCCCGATCTCTCTCCCGATCGCTCTCTTTTTTTCTCTTTTTTTTACGATCAGAGGAAACAAGAAGATGCTCGGTGTAGTCAGCACTTTGCTCCGTTCATCATTTCGTTTTTTTTATGCTTTGCTTTATGTAACCCCCCCCCCCCCCCGAACTCTCTCCACTCTCTGATATCTCTCCCGATCTCTCTCTCCCCTCTCCAAATCTCTCTCCTCTATCTCGATCTCTCTCTTCTCTCCTCCCTCTCCCTTTCTCATCTCTCTCCCTCTCTGGATCTCTCTCTCTCCTTTCTCCAAATCTCTCTCCTCTATCTCGATCTCTCTCTTCTCTCTCATCTCTCTCCCTCTCTGGATCTCTCTCCTCTCTCTCTCTCTCCCGATCTCTCTCTCTCCTCTCTCTCTCCCGATCTCTCTCTCCTCTCTCTTTCCCAATCTCCCTCTCCTCTCTCTCCCCATCTCTCTCCTCTCTCCCCATCTCTCTCCTCTCTCTCTCTTTCCCAATCTCCCTCTCCTCTCTCTCTCCCCATCTCTCTCCTCTCTCTCCCCCGATCTCTCTCCTCTCTCTCCCCCGATCTCTCTCTCCTCTCTCTTTCCCCATCCCTCTCCTCTCTCTCTCCCCATCCTTCTCCTCTCTCTCTCCCGATCTCTCTCCTCTCTCTTTCCCCATCCCTCTCCTCTCTCTCTCCCCATCTCTCTCCTCTCTCTCCCCCGATCTCTCTCCTCTCTCTCTCTCTTTCCCAATCTCCCTCTGCTCTCTCTTTTTTACAATCAGAAGAAACAAGAAGATGCTCGGTGTAGTCGGCACTTTGCTCCGTTAATCATTTCGTTTTTTTTAATGCTTTGCTTTATGTAACCCCCCCCCCCCCCTTTTAAATGAAAGACCCAAAATAATATTTTTTCTTTTTTTTCCTTTCCCCTTCCCTCTCTCTCTACCCCCCTCTCTGCCCCCCTCTCTCTCTACCCCCCTCTCTGCCTCTCCTCTCTCTCTACCCCCTCTCCGCCCCCCCTCTCTCTGCCCCCTTTCTTCCTACTCCATTTGGCTCTCTCTCGCTCTCTCTTTTTTCTTTATAACTACGACAAGTGCTGCATCTGCACGCAGCCCTTCCCACAGTCAAACGGCCTCCGACGGGTAGCTCAGATCTGCATGCACAGAGCTCTCCGTCATCTGCCACCGAGCACACGGCCTCCTCCAGTGCCCACTGCTCCTTGAAGGCCGGCACGGCGTGGGTCAGCCGCGCATGGCGGAACTCCAGCCCACACACCCTGGCTCCGACCACAGCGCGGAAGATGCCCAGGCTGCTGGCCGGACGTTGCCCCTCCATGGCCACCTTCCTCGCCCTGTGTATGGCGAGCTTGGCGTAGCCGAAGAGCACGTTGACCAGCCCCTGAAGATGTTGGGGTCCGTCGCCCTTTGGGTATCCAAAGATGAGGACCGTCGGGGATGAAGTGGAGGCTGAACCTTAGGAGGATGTTTCTCAGGACCTTGAACAGCGAGTCCAGGCTCTTGCACTCCACGTATTGGTGCGCCACCGTCTCCACTTTACCGCAGAACCGGCACTCCGGGGACGTGTCGGTGAAGTGCGCCAGGGAGGCGTTGGTGGTGACGGTGCCGTGGGCGATGCTCCAGCTGAGGTCGCCGATGCGGCTGTACGACGGTCTGCAGTAGAGTTGCCTCCAGCGAAGCCTCTCCGGAGAGACGCAGGGCAAGGCTTTCCTCCAGGCATGGTCCTTGTGGCTCCTCAGGGTGTCCTGTTGGTGGAACCGGACCATGTAGGAGTAGAGCACCTTCCTTTTTACATTTGCGAAGGCCACCTCCGGTAGGTCTTCTAGCTGGCACAGGTTGTGATCCGCCTTCGTTTGGAGGCATTGGCGATGCAGCGGCACGACTGAGAGCTCCTCTCTCCCCATCTCTCTCCTCTCTCTTTCCCCAGCTGTCTCCTCTCTCTCTCTCCCCATCTCTCCGCATCTCCACTGCGCAGCAGCTGCGGGGTCTGGCGGAGGGTGGAACGCGGTGGTAGCCATGAGGTGGTTGTAGTGGTTGTGGTGGTTGTGGTAGTTGAGGTGGTTGTTGTTGTTGTTGAGGTGGTTGTGGTAGTTGAGGTGCTTGTAGTGGTTGTGGTGGTTGTGGTAGTTGAGGTGGTTGTAGTGGTTGTGGTGGTTGTGGTAGTTGAGGTGGTTGTTGTTGTTGTTGAGGTGGTTGTGGTAGTTGAGGTGCTTGTAGTGGTTGTGGTGGTTGTGGTAGTTGAGGTGGTTGTAGTGGTTGTGGTGGTTGTGGTAGTTGAGGTGGTTGTAGTGGTTGTGGTGGTTGTGGTAGTTGAGGTGGTTGTAGTGGTTGTGGTGGTTGTGGTAGTTGAGGTGGTTGTAGTGGTTGTGGTGGTTGTGGTAGTTGAGGTGGTTGTTGTTGAGGTAGTTGTGGTGGTTGTGGTAGTTGAGGTGGTTGTTGTTGAGGTGGTTGTGGTGGTTGTGGTAGTTGAGGTGGTTGTTGTTGTTGAGGTGGTTGTGGTGGTTGTGGTAATTGAGGTAGTTGTGGTGGTTGTGGTTGTTGAGGTGGTTGTAGTGGTTATGGTGCTTGTGGTGGTTGTGCTAGTTGTGGTAGTTGTGGTGGTTGTGGTGTCATCAACGGCCTTTTAAACGCGACTTAAGAGTGTCTTAGCTCACAGGGAACTCCAAAATGAACTCAAACTGAACTTGGCTACGACCACCTCTTGACCTTTCGCCGTCCGGCTCGTGTTAAGGCTGAGTGGACCTAGGGGAGGCACGCGGGACAAATCGAGACTGTAAAGGGAGCGAGCGGAGATTAATGTCATCCCGAGTTCGCGGTGCTCTCTCATCGGTTTCGATGAATCTCAGACGAGAGTTCGGGATCACGCGGATTCACTCCTTCCACCCGCTCCGCTCCCGTCAGCTCCAGGTGAACGGGACGCGGCGCTTCCCGTCAGCTCCAGGTGAACGGGACGCGGCGCTTCCCGTCAGCTCCAGGTGAACGGGACGCGGCGCTTCCCGTCAGCTCCAGGTGAACGGGACGCGGCGCTTCCCGTCAGTTCCAGGTGAACGGGACGCGGCGCTTCCCGTCAGCTCCAGGTGAACGGGACGCGGCGCTTCCCGTCAGCTCCAGGTGAACGGGACGCGGCGCTTCCCGTCATGTAGACCAGTCGAGATGGCCCAAGCGAGTCTCGCCCCGCTCACGCAGGCAGAGAACGTCGAGAGCCGGGTCCACGCAGTTTTGCCGCGTTTTCAGTCCGACGCGGAGCGGGCTCTGGCGACCAATATTATTCACAATATAGAGGTGTTGTGGGTTAGATCGCAGTGAGTAACAATGCGTCGTAACCCTCCACCAGCCGACACAGCCGATTAGTATGGGATTTCTCACGTAACTCAAAACGTCAATTAGTTACTAGTATAGTCGTGTGTAGTGTCGTGTATAATGTAGTGTATAGTGTAGTATACTACTTCAGCCCACCGGTTTGTTTCAGAGTAAATCCACAACGTTTACAATTGGGGTACCGTAACGTTTCGCTGGTAACTGCATCCA